CTCACTCGCTTCCTGTCCAGGATGAATGCGCACACACACGCTTCCTAACCCATAGGGTGACCACGCTCACTCGCTTTCTAACCTATAGGGTGTACACTCTCACTCGCTTCCTGACCTATAGGGTAACCAAGATCACTTCCTGTGCAGGAGGACCATGCTCTTTTTTTCCTGTCCAGGATGACCGCACACACTCGCTTCCTGACCTATAGGGTGCCGACCCTCACTCACTTCCTGACCTATAGGGTGCCGACCCTCACTCACTTCCTGACCAATAGGGTGACCACCCTCACTCACTTCCTGACCTATAGGGTGACCACCCTCACTCACTCACTTCCTCACCTATAGGGTGACCACCCTCACTCACTTCCTCACCTTTAGGGTGACCACCCTCACTCACTTCCTCACCTATAGGGTGACCACCCTCACTCACTTCCTCACCTATAGGGTGACCACCCTCACTCACTTCCTCACCTATAGGGTGACCACCCTCACTCACTTCCTGACCTATAGGGTGACCACCCTCACTCACTTCCTGACCTATAGGGTGACCACCCTCACTCACTTCCTGACCTATAGGGTGACCACTCTCACTTCCTGACCTATAGGGTGACCACCCTCACTTGCTTCCTGACCTATAGGGTGACCAAACTCACTTCCTGTCCAGGATGACCGCACACACTCGCTTCCTAACCTATAGGGTGACGACCCTGACTCACTTCCTGACCTATAGGGTGATGACCCTCGCTTCCTGAGCTGTAGGGTGACGACCCTCACTCACTTCCTGACCTATAGGATGATGACCCTCACTCACTTCCTGACCTATAGGATGATGACCCTCACTCACTTCCTGACCTATAGGGTGACCACCCTCACTCACTTCTTGACCTATAGGGTGACCACCCTCACTCACTTCTTGACCTATAGGGTGACCACCCTCACTCACTTCTTGACCTATAGGGTGACCACCCTCACTCACTTCCTGACCTATAGGGTGACCACCCTCACTTCCTGACCTATAGGGTGACCACCCTCACTCACTTCCTGACCTATAGGGTGACCGCGCTCACTTCCTGTCCAGGATAACCGCACACACTTGCTTCCTGACCTATAGGGTGACCAAGCTCACTTCTTGTCCAGGGTGACAACGTTCACTCATTTCCTGGAGTATAGGGTGTTCTGTAGCCCCCTGAGGAGAATTAGGCAGGGTTGATAACATGGCTTGAGGTAACCCTGCAGAGAGCCCAGGAAGTTAGGAGCTTTCCCAGTTTCTGGCAGGATCAACAGGTGTTCCTTAAACTTATTGAACAGATGTAAAAAAATAATGTTTATTGGTATATTTAAGGGATCAAAAGGAAGAGAATAGTAGAAGTTCGTAGTCAGGCGTACACATTGTAAGGCCTCCATTCATGTCAATGTGTCCGTGTTTTGTATGCACATCGCTGGAACTGGACAATTACCAGAAAGCCAGTCCCTGCACATGATGGCCGTGTCCCTCCTGGTCCTCCTGTGTGTGACTTTGGAATGTTCCGGACACTGTCATTCATTTTCCCCGTGCTGGACAATAGCCGGGTCCCCGATCAGCAGCAGGACACCAGGTGGGGTCTTTCCAGGACAGAGACATGGTAACTTCTTGTCATCAGGCAGGGGGGTCCTATCATGTCATGTGTGTCACAGCAGTTCAGTGTGATATGGTGCTCTGAGTCATGTGACCCTGGCCAATGCGTTCCATTGTTTTAGGTGGCGGCACTAATCCACCCATAATGTAAACACAGGAGCAGCCGGGTGTGTGATCTCTCTGCTGTATACACTCAGGGGGGGGGGTGTTCAGAAAACTCACACAACTTCTGCTTTTTTGGCCTCGTTCACACAGGCGTGCTACAATGTACGCCGTGTTTACCAGCACAGGGGTGTACAGGCAGTTCCATACATGTCTATTGGGATGCACGGACACAACCGCTGCTCCCAATTTGACATCTGTGCAGACAGACGAGCAGGACCGCCGTCCAATCGTGATCAGTGATCCTCCCCCTGGCATTCAGAACTTTTTAAAGGAACACCGGGGTGGACAGAAAGGGGTTAATCACCCCCCTTATCAGCACATTGTCGCCCTTCTTACAATTCCCACTGGTCTATTCAGCTGTAAAGAGCCAGCAAAGGAAATCCTGTGACAACACTCCTTCACTGTACTGTAAGGAGGCGCAGCGTTGTCACCCCAGGCTGCTGTCTGGATTTGGACTACAAGCACCTCCCCCTCTCCTCATCTCACAAATTCCGTTTTCTTTACACAATAAGAGTTTTTCTTATGGTGGCCATACATGTACTGATCCAATCGAATAATTTTTCACAGATTTGGCAATTTGACTGCATGTATAAATTATCAAAAAGACACATACTCGGGGCAAAACCCATCAGTTTCAGAGAAATTATCCTGATTAGTCTGAATGGAAAATCCAATGGTGGGAAGGTAGATGGATCTACTGTATCTCCCAGAAGGGAGTTCACCCCTCACAATTTTGTAAATATTTTATTCTCCAGGACTTCTCTAGGGCTTCCCCCATCCTCTGGAACTCGCTACCCCAATCCATCAGACTGTCATGGCCGGCTCCAGGACTTCTCCAGGACTTCCCCCATCCTCTGGAACTCACTACCCCAATCCATCAGACTGTCATGGCCGGCTCCAGGACTTCTCCAGGACTTCCCCCATCCTCTGGAACTCACTACCCCAATCCATCAGACTGTCACCTACCCTCCTCACCTTTAGGCACACCCTGAAAACCCATCTCTTCAGGGAAGCCTACCCCGCCCTCACCTAACTGCCGATCTCCTCCACTCCTCCTACCACTCCATCCCCCACAGCTATTTTCTCCTGTACCACTATCCCCTCCCTCCTAGATTGTAAGCTCCAAGGAGCAGGGCCCTGGAACCCCTGGTGTACTGTATTGTTACTGTACTGTCTCGTGTACTGTCTCCCATTATAATGTACAGCGCTGAGCAAACTTTTGGCGCTATATAAATACTGTATAATAATAATAATATTCTTTTCATGTGACAACACTGAAGAAATGAAACGTTGCTACAATGTGACGTAGTGAGTGTACAGCTTGTATAACAGTGTAAATTTGCTGTCCCCTCAAAATATCTCAACACACAGCCATTAATGTCTAAACCGTTGGCAACAAAATTGAGTACACCCCTAAGTGAAAATATCCAAATTGGGCCCAATTAGCCATTTTCCCTCCCTGGTGTCATTTGACTCATTAGTGTTAAAAGGTCTCAGGTGTGAATGGGGGCAGGTGTGTTAAATTTGGTGTTATCGCTCTCACTCTCTCATACTGGTCACTGGAAGTTCAACATTGCACCTCATGGCAAAGAACTCTCAGATTTAAGTCCGGACTTGACTAGGCCACTCCAGAACCTTAATTTTGTTTGTTTTATTTTTTTGAGCCATTCAGAGGTGGACTTGCTGGTGTGTTTCGGATCATTGTCCTGCTGCATAACCCAAGTGCGCTTGGGCTTGAGGTCAGGAACTTATGGCCAGACATTCTCCTTCAGGATTTTCTGGGAGAGCGCAGGATTAAGGGTTCCATCAATTATGGCCCAGGTCCTGAAACTGTAAAGCAGCCCAAGACTATCACACAACCACCACCATGTCTCACTGTTGGTATGATGATCTTTTTATGAAATTCTGTGCTAGTTTTACGCCAGATGTAGCGGGTCGCATACCTTCCAGAAAGTTCAACTTTTGTCTCATCAGTCCACAGAATATTTGCCCAAAAGTCTTGGGGATAATCAAGATGTCTTTTGGCAAATGTGAGACGAGCCTTTGTGTTCTTTTTGGTTAGAAGTGGCTTTTGTCTTAGAACTCTCCCATGGTTGCCATCTTTGCCCGGTCTCTTTATTATTGTTGCATTGTGAACTTAACTGAGGCAAGTGAGGCCTGAAGTTCTTTTAGATGTTGTTCTGGGTTCTTTTATGACCTCTTGGATGAGTTGCCATTATGCTGTTGGAGTAATTTTGGTAGGTCGGTCACTCCTGGGAAGGTTCACCACTGTTCCAAGTTTTCTCCATTTGTAGGTAACGGCTCTCACCATGGTTCGCTAGAGTCCTAAAGCCTTACAAATAGCTTTGTATCCCTCTCCAGACTGATACATGTCAACTACTTTGTTTCTCGTCTGTTCTTGAATTTCTTTAGATCATGGCATGATGTTTTGCTTTTTGAGATCTATAGCGTGCTTCACTTTGTCAGGCAGCTTCTATTTAATGAATTCTTGATTCAACAGGTCTGGCAGTAATCAAGCCAGGATGTGGCAAGTTAAATTTAACTCTGCTTTTCAAAAAAATGTGGTTAATCACTGTTCATTCATGATTTAGCAAGGGGGAGGGGGAAATTACTTTTTCACAGAGGGCCAGGCAGGTTTGAATGGCTTTTTTCCCTTAATAAATGAAATCATCACGGAAAAACTGCATTTTGTATTTACTCAGGTTATCTTTGTATAATATTAACATTTGTTTGATGACTGATTATTTCAGTGTGACAAATATATATGAAAATGAAAAAAAATCAGAAAGTGGGGAAAAAAACCTTTTCACAGCACTGTACCTATATGAAAGCTGCCATTGCTGGAAAAGTGAATTCCCTGACTGTCATACTGATCCTTTGGCTTCAGTACTTTCTGAGCCGCTGAGCTGATTTTTGAATTTGCTAATCAGGAGTTCTGACTTCACACTGACTTTTCTGATCTGAATACTTATTTCATGTCAGTGGATCAGACACTATGACAGCCAGAGGGAGCCAGGCAAGCAGCAGTTTCAGGACAAGGTCAGTGATAGTAGTGTGCCTCTGTAAGTGCAGGTCTCCTTTAATGGATCTGGTACCCAGAGTAGTCAATCAGGTTTCATCTGTCCAGGGGCCAAAAAATGGTTTAGTAGCTGGATAAGTGAATGTTGTACCTGCAGTTTCACTCCCCTTACATGGTGTCCTGATGTTTCCTCCATTGTAGTGTGATGCCGGGGCCTCCGTCTCCCTCCCAGAATCCCTCCTCTTCGTGTCCACGCTGGATGGGAGTTTTCACGCTGTCAGTAAGAAGACTGGAGATGTGATGTGGACCCTGAGAGATGGTGAGTCTTCTCTGTCTACACTTACCTGTACTGAGCGTAAAGCTTATCACACACATTACAATCTGATTGTACAATCTCCTTTAGATCTACTAACAAAGTATGCAATGCAATTGCTTCTCTGTTTGGATATTGATTGATTAGATAGTTTAGGTTTGTTCCCATATTATATAGTTTTGGAAAATATAAAGGCGATCGCAAGGTCAGATCGTAATGTATGTTAACCTAAAGGTGGCCATAGATGGATAAAAATTTGACTGGTTCAGCCAGGATTGGTCACATTTTGATCCGTGTGTGGCTGTTCCCTGTCTATAGCCATCAATCCAAAGATTGACTTCTGTTGAACAGGACTGTTGGAAGCCTTTTCTCGATCATCAGGCCGCAGGCAATCAGCTATAGCCGCTGTATAATGTATTGTAACAGAAGAAGAGTTCCCACTGTCAGAATACAATGGCACAGCAGGTAAGATTCCTCCATCCACCTTGCTTGTGTGTATGGGGGAATCTTTTTTTTTTTTTTTTTTTTTTTTTTTTATGATCAGTCTATGGCCAGACTAACCTTTTTGAGCCCACAAGGGCTTGTAAGCTGGCCATACAATAAACACTCAGACTGTACAATCTCTGCACAGAGATTACCAAAACTATGTAATTTAGGCACAACCCTAAGCAAGTAATTCACTTGTATCCAATCAGGCAGGTCTTTGCACCACATAGTTGATGGTACCAACTTTGTATGTAATGCAAGGGTCTGCCTGACCAGAAACAAATACATTGGGTAATTAAAGGGTATTGTGCATTGTCTTGTGGCCTTCTTGAGTGCCACCATTGTGCATTGTCCTGTGGCCTTCTTGAGTGCCACCATTGTGCATTGTCCCATACCCTTGTGGGCCACCATTGTCCCATACCCTTCTTGAGTGCCACCATTGTCCCATACCCTTCTTGAGTGCCACCATTGTCCCATACCCTTCTTGTGGGCCACCATTGTCCCATACCCTTCTTGTGGGCCACCATTGTCCCATACCCTTCTTGTGGGCCACCATTGTCCCATACCCTTCTTGTGGGCCACCATTGTCCCGTACCCTTCTTGTGGGCCACCATTGTCCCGTACCCTTCTTGTGGGCCACCATTGTCCCGTACCCTTCTTGTGGGCCACCATTGTCCCGTACCCTTCTTGTGGGCCACCATTGTCCCGTACCCTTCTTGTGGGCCACCATTGTCCCGTACCCTTCTTGTGGGCCACCATTGTCCCGTACCCTTCTTGTGGGCCACCATTGTCCCGTACCCTTCTTGTGGGCCACCATTGTCCCATACCCTTCTTGAGTGCCACCATTGTCCCATACCCTTCTTGTGGGCCACCATTCCACTTTGTCACATGGCCTGTTTGGGGGCCACCTTTGCGCATTGTCCCTGTGTCCCACAGTAGGAGTTGTCTATCAAAAGTGGGTAAAGGAAATGCCTAATCCAAATGATCCAAATTTTGTCAAAACTGGTAATTGTCCAACATTTTTGCTTTCATATTTTCATACATTGTGGTCTCCTTTATCTTGATCTTTACTTTGTGAAAATTAAAAACATTTTTAAATGACTTCTACTGCCTTAATCTCTATTGTTTCGAATTTGCTGAGAGCTTGGACAGGTGTATCAATCCCTCCCCACTCTGGTTCAATCCCTCCCCACAGGGTTCATTATACAGTACATTCCAAGAAGTAGCCCCCTTTTTTTTTTTTGCTGATAGCAGTGACAAGCATCGCATTCGAATTGGGACCTATGGAGGTCTGCTTGCTCTCAGCAAAATTGACAAACAGCAAGCATGACTCACAGAGCATCCTATCCGGCCGGCTACACTTGTCCTAACCTCCTTTCACGGAACATATCCTGATTATTACACACAAATGGAACTTGTTTGGCAAGTTTTCGACCCTACGATCTGTGCCCCTCCCATCATCTGATTTCCTGGTAACTCCGGTTCCAAAGATTTATCTTTCCTCGGATCACACAATGAAGTACAGAGAAGCACAAGACTTCATTCGTGGAAAATATAGTATACGTGTCGCCATTGTCCACAGCAACTAATCACCTTAGGGGATGTATAGTGACTATCTACCTACCTGGCACCAAGGGCCAAACTGCACCCCTCCCCATCCTTCCCTGGGAATCGGGGGTGTAGGGTGTGAGGTGCAGCATGCCACATTAAAACATATGTGACATCCTATCCCACAGCAGAATATGGGGCTGAAAGTGATGTGGAAAGAAATGCCCTGGCATTGGATGCCCCTGTGTTGTTGATGATGCCACTGAAAGGTATAAATGCCCCTGCATCTGTGGTGTCAAAATTACCCCTGAGGAGAACTGATTTGGTGGTGGTATGAAGGGGGGGGGAGGGGAGTTGGGAAGGTGGGGAATCTGCGGGGTGCATTTAACTATAAGGGGACCTCTGTGGCTCTGGATGAGTGGCTATGCTGGGAGAAGGGAGCTCTGAGTCTATCTTGCTCCCCCTACCCTCTGTGCACTTATATTTCAGACCTTCTCAGTGTGGCACCTTCCCAGAAGTGAAGACTGCTCTTTCTTTATCTCCTCCTTGGTCATGTGATATGTCACATGACACGTGGAAAGCAGGAGAATGGCAGTCTGCCCTCATATTCTGGTAAGAGGCTGTACAGGTGAGGAACATGGGACTGACAAGTACTGAGCACCTCCCTCCACTTGATGACATGGAACCCCTCCTTCTTGGCCCCTTGTCCCATCCTTCCCCAGTGTCAACCAGCAGCAGCTGCAGGGGAGAAGAGAGAGCTTTTGACAACATCTGGGAATGCCTGGGAGGGGTGATGCCACCCATACATACAATACAACTAATGCGAAATTAACATTTCTAGGACTCCATTCAGATCTGCCTGACTCTAAAGTCACAAGATTTCCAGTGCGACTTTAGAGCACAACTTTGATGCGACTTTGAGCGCGACTATCATCTGACTTTACACCCTCTGGATCAAAGTTGCATCAAAAGTCGCATCAAAGTAGTGCAGGCACTTTTTCAAAGTTGCTGCCACTTTTAAGCCCTGGTTCACACTGAATGCCACTTTAAAATTGTGCTTCTTCACTTCTAGTAGTGCAATTTCAAAGCCTCAGGTCAGTGCGATTTCAGGTGTCTATGCAAGTTGCACTTGAAATCGCCAAAAATAGTGCAGGAGCTATTTTCAAAATCGACGACGTTGGAATCGCAGTGATTCGAATGGTTCCATTGCCAAAAATAGGGTGCGACTTGTCATGCGAGTTGGAATTGTCAAATTGCATGACTAGTTGCACCGGTGTGAACCAGGGCTTAGTTGCACCAATTTGAATGGGTGCCATTGAAAAGAATGGGTTGCGATTTGTCATGCGACTTTGATGTCCAAAGTCACATGACAAGTCACACAAGTTTGAATGGAGCCTCAAAGTTCAGTAAAACATACGAATGTTCACTTTCTGCGTTCAGGTCCAGCTTTTTGAAGCAGAACTAAGCTCGCTCACATAACAATTTCTCATTTCATCCCTTCGCCTTCCCTCCTACATGAACGCTTACAAAATGTGTTCTAATATTTACCTAAATGCTTTGTGCTGCAAGGCTGCACTTCCTGGTGTGTGGCTTGTGCTGGACCCCGCTGCCTCCTGGGATTGCTACGTTACAGCTATTCAAGGAGGCAGTGGGTTGCTAAGGTGTAACACAAAAGAACTGTAAAAAAGACCTGCGTAACAAGGTAATGGAACTTTATAAAGATGGAAAAGGATGTACAAAGATATCAAAAGCAGTTCTTGGCATGATCAGTCAAATTTTCAATTTTCAAAATTTGCTGTCTAGGAACAAGAAAAATAAAAAAAAATTACCCCCCCCGCTCGACGCAGCAAAAACACAAGTGAAAAAAAACGCAAAATGCAGGAAACGCAATGCAGGAACACATCAAATGCAACCTGCATAGGTTTGAACCTAGGGTAAATAAAAGATAGTTTTTTTTCATGATCAGTGATATTTTCAATATCAATTCCAAAATTTCACGATTTCTGTATGCAAATGTTTGAGCACAACTGTATATACTGTTTATACTGTATATTATGTTTGGCTTTACTTAGTTTCTTCTTTGTTTTTCGTGCAAATGTACCTCATTCATTTATTTATTTATTTATGTTTTCGCCCTGAGTGCTTCTATTGAATTATTCATTCAGTTTTTTAAGATTGTGGAACCAAAAATGTTGTTTTCCTGTGAAATCACCCTCATACTATACACTTTTTCTTTTTCAGATCCTGTCATCCAAGTCCCGCTCTACGTCTCTGAGTAGGTATTTTTGCTGATTTAAAACAGGCAATCAATCAAGTTTTATCATGTCTTCTCTAAGAATATAATTGATGGAATCCAGTCACTACGGGCATTACTTTCCCTTTTGGTTTCATTCACTTTGTATAACTAAATAAACTTTGTATATTGTCTCTGGTATCACATAAAACAAGGCCTAAGCCCTGGAATAATACGGATCGCCTTTTATACAGGACATGGTATGATACAGCAGTCTTCATTTATCAAGAGGGTCTGAAAAAAGAGCTGTCTGTAGTCAGAGCCACTAATCGGTTTTCAGTCTTTCATGATCCACAGCTGCTATCGGGTACTGCAGACAGTTTTTATTTCAGAGATAAGATAGGTCACTGGGAAGGCCGTGTAGATGATCATAGTATGAACTGATGATGTGACTCTCAATTGTGTTCCAGACCCGCTTTCCTGCCGGACCCCAGCGATGGAAGCCTGTACATCTTGGGGGGAAGAAACAAGGAAGGACTTATGGTAAGTATGTACAGATAATAAATCTTTGCTGACCATAGACGGAGCAGATTGTTCCCTGAGTATGACAAGGAGAAATATGATTGTCTTCAATCCTATTGGAACACACTGGCGTACGTGTATGGCGTAACTGACGCATCGGCGTAGTTTCTGCACAAGTCCATGTGTAGTGGAAGGATCTGTCCAGATCATGGTCACTGACATTTTCCCCATCAGTTGGTAAATCTTTGTAGGTGAAAATAATCAACATTAGAAAAAATGGTTTTCTCTACCAAGGTATTCCCATAAACAGCCTAATCGGTGTCAGATCGGTGGTGGGGCAATTATGGTCTTAAGCCAAGTACACACCATCAGAAAATCTTACAAAAAATACCGCTTTTAAAGCAGTATTTTCATACGATAATCTGATTGTTAGTACACAGCTTTCATCCGAATTTTTTTGACGGTACGAAAAATGTTTCTCGTACAATAGCAGATCGTACAATTTTCGTCCCAGAATACAATACAAATACATTGCATCACTTCTGAATTTTTTTCTGTTGTACAAGAATTTTTGTAACTTTAGTAACCTCTTCACTTTCGATATGAGACTAGAATGCAAAAAACAATCATTCGTGCGATATTCTCATCGTGTGTATGGGGCATTAGTCACCAAAGCTGGCCATACACTATTGAATTTGCTTAGTGGGTGGCCTTGTTGGCCATCTCCTTCCTGACATCATCCGATTAAAAAAAAATCAAAGGAGCCAAGTGGAAAATTGTTGGCGGAACAATGACTGCATCCAATCAGATGGAACCGTTCTTTGGATACTCTGATATCTGTCAGATAGCAATAGTCCAGCAGGGGAGGTTTTGTCCATCCGTGCTGTATAGCGTGGATGGAGAGGAGGAATCTGTTGTATGGCCAGCTTAAGGCTTTGTGAGGATATGAACAGAGACCGCATTGTTGAAGCAAACCTAAAAAAAAATAACTTACGGCTAGGTGCTTCAAAGAAGAAGTTTTTTCTTCTGGCTCCTGTCCCCCATGTGACAAAAGGCATGACGCACCTTATCCCCTCTACCTAGGTGGGCCTGTTCCTGAGAGCGTTGTCAGAAGTGCACACCCCATTCCTTCTTTGCTTTCTGATTAGGCATTAACCAAGGAGGCGATTTATTAATGATGGACAGTACTTGCCTCCGGCTCTGGGAACCTCCCGAGGCAGGCGCCGTCACATTTTATGTAGGGGGCATGTATGGTCCAGTGCCTGTAAAGGCTTGATTTTCAGAAGAGTTTAACAGGCAGCTTGGAGGTTATATGTTACTGCATTACACGTGGTTGTGGTGTGGTCCAATTCACCTTACTGAGTCTCATTTTGGTGGGGGTACTGCCTTATGAACACCACCTATGTAATACATTTTGCCTCACCACAACCATGGCAGTGTGTACTAGCATGGTGGCATGTTAATTTGCAGTCCAGCTCTGCCTGGTCTCCCCACCCCCCCCCCCCCCCCCCCTTCTCCCCCCCCCTTCTCCCCCCCCCCCCCCCCCCCCCCTCTCCCCTCCCCTTCTCCCCTCCCCTTCTCTCCCCCCTGCACCAATAAGGCTCCAGTACTGTGCTCTGAGTATACCTCTGGGAATGGTGCAGGGCTGATGTCTGCTGATGATGGCAGCACACGAGCAACAAGTGTGAGAGTTCACTACACAGAGGTAGTGGCAACTGAGCACTGCCACCACTGATCCATTGACACACCCACAAATTGGGCTTTCATAGGAGGAGCAACCTAATGCAGGCCATACATTGGTTGAATCCTGAACGATTTTTCGGCCGAAAATTTAAAACGTCATTCGCTTGGTAATCCGATGGTGGCATCAATGATTTTGAAAATCGGCCGACCGAGTCATAAAGGTCACCCCGTATAAAAGGTGAAACTTCTGTTCCTTCCAGGTCACGGCTCGTGCGCGTATTCTTTTCGGAAAAACGATCGTATGATTTGACCATCATTGAGTCGAAAATCGGTCGTTTTTCATTCATTTTGCAACATGCCCGATCACTGAAAAGGGAAGAACCACAAAAATCGGCCGGTGCCATTTACCCACTAACAGAGCGAAAATCGGCCGATTATTCTTAGGTCTGATTTTTGGACAAAAACTTGGTCGAATTTCGACCCGTGTATGGCTGACATAAGAGCTGGATGATAGTAACTGCAGATTAATTGTTTTGTAGAATCCAGTAGAGGATCATTGGAGATGAATGTACGGACATGTATTTAGATTATTTACCATTATGGGTGTCTCTTTTTTTTTTTTTTTTTTTTCTTGGCCAGTACTGAGTGGTTTTCTCTAAAGAAACTCTGTTGCAGAAGTAAAATTAAAAAAAAGGTTCCTGGTAAAGAAAAAACCTGATACTTGCATAGTCTACACAGTAACGTAAAGGCCAGTGGGTAGAACGATTGGAAGTCTGGCACACCACATGAAGGTTCTGCAGGTGACTTTGCTCAACAGAATCTCTTAGATTGTAAGCTCCCAGGATCAGGGCGCTCCTATCCCTCTTGTATTGAACTGTATTGTTGCTGTATTGTCTCCCATTATATTGTAAAGCGCTGAGCAAACTGTTGGCGCTATATAAATCCTGTATAATAATATATAAATCCTGTATAATAATAATATATAAATCCTGTATAATAATAATAATATATAAATCCTGTATAATAATAATATATAAAATCCTGTATAATAATAATAATATATAAATCCTGTATAATAATAATATATAAATCCTGTATTATAATAATAATAATAACAACAACAGAAGCTAATTTAGCAAGAAACTTTTTTTTTTATTTAAAATTCCAAGACAGGTTTTCTTTAATTGACATGAAAAGTTATTACAGGATACAGTTGATGATTATGTAAGACAACATAGCCTCACCTGATCCTTTGTCTTCCTTATTTTGTAGAAATTACCCTTCACCATCCAGGAATTGGTCCAGTCCTCTCCCTGCCGTAGCTCTGATGGGATCCTGTATACAGGTAATCACACTGTTCTAAAGAAAAATAACACTATACAGAGGATAATGCAGCCACCAGAATGATTTGTATGAATATTAAAGCAACTCTAGCACTTACTCAAAGTATCTTTTAAAAATGGCATACCGGCAAGGAAGAAATACTTACCTCTCCTGCTGCCCACACTGCTGAACACCGCTCCACTGCTGAAGTTGCTTCTGAAACCAACCTTCAATCACCTGGTTAGTCTCCTATCAACCTTTGATCTTTGATCTCCTGGGTCCCCCACAGCACTTGCTGGTTCTTTCTGCTGACCTCAGATCACTATTGTGTCCTATAGTGAGTGGAGGTCAAAAAACCTGAAATACATATACAGTTGTGTTCAAAATAATAGCAGTCAGATATCACTAACCTGATCAATTCACAGGTGCCAGAAGTTGGGTGACTCCATACAACACAGATGTACAGCAGTTCTCAGAAACAGTGCGACTACAACCAAATATTCATTAAGTGATTCAAAGGAAAGCCAAATCTTCAAACATTTTTCAGTTTATATAGTGAATGTTTGAGTTTGTAATGAAGACAATACAAACACTGCGATTTTTTTGAACAGTCTAATATTCACTTTTCTTCAATTTTTTTAGAGGAATAACACAAATTTGATCTATTTTTCTTCATGTTTTGATTTGGAATAGAATGTGTCGTGTTCCCAATGCATTTGTGTGTATGGAAATAAAATCTATTAGAAGGATTTTGAGCTTTATTCACTTTTTTCAACACACTGCTATTAATTTGAACACAACTGTACATGTATTTTTTTGTTTTTTTACTTTCAAAAGGATTTTTGAATCTTTTTGGCCAGTCTTGTGATTCACATCCCATTGCCATGCAAGTGCCACACACGTTTCCTATTTCAGCTTTGTAGATTTCTCTCCCGCCTGCTAATTGGATAACAGCCTGGCATCATCACCTCTGTCCCTTGAGGAAGATGAGACCCATAAAGTAGTGAAGCTGAACCAGAACGTATAGTGCAGGGTTGCTCAACCTGTGGCCCTCGGAGCCCTCTGATGTGGCCCTCGACCTCAAATTAGAGAAGCACATGCTTGGGGTTGGCAACCTGTTGATCGCAATTTGAGCTTGCTAATCCGCCATCCCAGAGCATCAGAGCTGGAAGAAGCAAGGCAGCCACGGAGAGAGCAGGACCACATATGCTGATGATTCCTCTGTAGTGCCAACTCCTGCCCCAGGTGGAGTGATACCAATCGCACTTCACTGGGACCTTTCTAGCAGCCAGAAGAGGAGAGAAAAGGTCAGTGTATCAAAAAACACATACACTGCACTTTGCAATGGGCATATTAGAACCTATAAAAGGGTTTCACAACTATTAGCATTAACAATAACATATAAAGCCATTGATAACTGCTCCAAATTACATCACCGATCTTGTCTCCAAATATCACCCAAACCATCCTCTCCGCTCCTCGCACGACCTCCTGCTCTCTAGCTCCCTTGTCTCCTCCTCCCATGCTCGTCTCCAGGACTTCTCCAGAGCTTCCCCCATCCTCTGGAACTCTCTATCCCAATTTATCAGACTATCACGTACTCTGCTCACTTTTAGGCGATCTCTGAAAAAACATATTTCTTCAGGGAAGCCTATCCTGCCTTCAGCTAATAATGGAATCGTCTATTCCTCCTACCAGTCCATCCCCCACAGTTACTACCTTTTGTACCACTAGCCCGTTCCTCCTAGATTGTAAGCTCCCAGGATCAGGCCCTCCTATCCCTCTTGTATTGAACTGTATTGTTGCTGTATTGTCTCCCTTTATATTGTAAAGCGCTGAGCTAACTGTTGGCGCTATATAAATCCTGTATAATAATAATAATTAGGCTGCTTTCACACTGATCTGCAGGTGCAATGCAGTGCATCTGAGGGTTTCCTGCGGGTTAGGTGCACTGAGCCATAGACTCCTATTATATCCACACCCGCAAGATTTACAGTAATAGAAGTCCATGGCAAACCCGCAGGGAAGCCGCAGGTATGCCGTACCCGCTGTGCAGGTAACGCAGAGAGCCTTAGTGTGAGAGCAGCCTAATAGGGCTCAGAACAGTAAGGGCTTGTTTACATTTGCAGTTTTGGAGGGGGAGTAAAACCCCATAAGTGAGATGTGTTTTTACCACACACCCTCAACCACTGGTGTAACGTCAGGGGTCGCAATAGCGGCCCGGCCCCATGCTCAGGGGGGAGGGGGGCCTGTTCGTCCTCCCTGTCGAATTCTGTTTTACAGTTAGGCAAGAGGGGCTGAATCTTAGATTGTAAGCTCCCAGGATATAATAAATATATAAATCCTGTATAATAATAACAGTATACAGGAAGTGGTCCTCTACATTTTCCTCTTGCAACCTCTGAAAGCCAGCTTCTCCTCCTCTCCTTCCCATCGGCATTCAGGGGCTGCAGGGGGAAAATCTTCATTATGCTATTCAAAATAAAAAATTTAAAATTCTAAACCATTTCATTTCATTGTGGCCTGCTACCGGCTACCAGTCACTTAGGCCCCATGTACACGGGACACTTCTGAACGATGGAAACTGACTGCTAGAAAACGTATGTTAAAAAATGTCTGTTTAGTTGCGTTTAAATAACGCGTTTATGTGTGTTTGCGTTTAGAAGTGTTTTTTAAAGATAAGCACAGGAGAACCTCCCAAATGCCCAGAATGCACTGAAAAGTGGTAAATTATTAACTATTTCAGACAGTTTCAGAGAAATACAAAGAGTAGATGCAGAGACAGCAGTACGTGTTGAGATTAACTTAGGTGTGAGTTGCTCATTAACATTTCTTTTGATTCCAAGGGTGGGAAAGGTGTCTGGTGGAGGGGGTCATTAAGGCCACCTGGCAGGGGGTCTTCATGAGTAAATTGAGGTGTGAATGGTCATTAACATATCTTTTGTTTCCAAGGGTGGGAAAGGTGTCTGGTGGAGGGAGTCATTAAGGTTTCCTGGCAGGGGGTCTTCATGAGGAATTTGAGTTGTGAATAGTCATTAACATATATTTTGTTTCCAAGGGTGGGAGAGGTCTGAGGTGTGAATTGGTCATTACAATGTGTGACAAACTTGGTAGGAACATCCTGTGTTCCGTGTTTTGTCCATCTGAGTACCTTGAAAACGCTTTGCATGCATTTTTCATGATGAAGAAAGGCTCTGGACAGCATTGAGAACTGGAAGAGTTAAAAAAAAATTTCAGACGCAAACGCTTATAAATGCGATTTGCCGCATTTACAAGCGTTTACAAGTGTTTTGCGTTTGAAACACTGATAAAATCGACTGCTGAACACAAGTTTTCTGCGTTCAAAAAAAAACGACTGTAAACTCAAATGCCTGTAAACGACTGTAAACGACGCTGTGTACATGGACACATAGGAAATCATTAGGGAGAGTTCAGGGGCTGCTGAAAATACGCTGAACAGCTCCTAAACGTGAGTTTGTCAGCTGCAGTGTACATGAGCCCTTAAGTGGCCCTCGCTCTTCAAAAGGTTGAGCTCCCCTGGTACCCTGGTATTGTGGGTGAAACCTTCCTGGCTGTAAACTGTGTAAATCATGAGAAAGGCCGAGCAAAATTAAATATCATTTAGCAGGTAAAAGTGTTAACATATTTTGAATTGTTTTCACTTTAACCAGCAGTGTCTAATACATATTCATAGACCTGAGCTGTTGCCCATTTACTCTTCTGTGTTGATTCATTAAATAGCTGTGTAATTAGAGCCATCTTGGGAACTGAATTGCATAAAATGCCGGCTGTTAGTTCAGAGCTGGATTAGCAGCTGACACCGCCAGGGAACTCTTTCTCAGTTCACTGAGGGAAAACCAATGAATAAATAGCCAGTAGCATATTTGTATATAAATATACCTTAGACACTGTTGTGTCATTATTACCACTTGGAGTTTGTTCAAAGATACTTCATATAATGCTGCTCCACTTCAAGGATTTCTTATGCCTTTTACAATTAGCAGGAAAAACTAGCTTCTCCGGACTTGCCAATAACTCATTTCCAAACTTTAATGGAAGAAATAAATTTTATGTTCTGATTTAATATGCCAAGGTGACCCATCAGTAGCTGTACAAGTCTACATAAATACAATCAGGAAAGTGACTGCGTCTAGGTTGAGCGTTGCAGTTTGGGAGCATGATGTTATCCTGCAGACAGGAAAAAGCCTTCTCTCCCCAGGTGATCACTCACTCTGACTGTGCATCGTAACTTTGTAGAAAGATGGGGCAGCAGTAAGAAATTGATCTGTATGAGGTAACAGTTAGGATCACATTCAAGAACTGCACAGGCACCAGGGGTTACATGGCTGTGTCATCTTATCTGGCATTGTGGCCCTAGAATCAGTTGCTGAGCCAAGTTGATGCTTTAATAAAGATGGGGCCAGATGATAGGGGGGGTGTTGGAAGCACAGTTTTTCCTGTGAAAGGTTATAGTGTGTGTATTACACTTGGGTCACTCTTTAATAACAGGTCCTCTTTAATAACCATTATTGTTTATGAAATGCAATGAACAGGCATGCGTAGGTAAGTGTTGACACACAGAAGCATGGGCATTGACAAGAGTACGGCCATATACAGTACAGCCATTCACTTGTAAGACAGGCTGTATGCAGTTCCTGGGCACATGAAAACACAAGGAGATTTATCCTGGGCATAAAAAATAGCCTATAATAGCATGTGTGCATAAACCCTTAAGGCTTCATGCACAAGGGAAGAAAAAAAAACACCACTTTTAGGGCTTGTTCACATGTGCAGCAACCCTTGCAGCCCCTATGAAAAGCATTTTTCAGTGGATCGCATTTTAGAGGAGTTTGTCAGTCGGTGAGGAGACAATATGCTATCTCCCCACTGCCTGATTCAACTCTATACTCTGCGATTGCAGAATAGCCCTATAGATTTGCATGGGTTTGCATTACCACTGCCGAATGCAACATGCTGCTTCATTTTTACCATGGTTGCAGCATGTGTGCAGCTCTGAGTGGCTGCATTGCTGTGTTCAGGTGGGCAGTCAGCAGTGCAGTGGGCAGCCTTTAGAGGTGTTTTTCAGTCAATGTGTCTATGCACAGCTTTATTGCAGCCAATGTGCTCATTCACAGCTCTTTCATTTAATGTGTCCATGTACAGCTTTATTGCAGACAATGTGCTCGCTCACAGCTGTTTCATTTAATGTGTCCATGTACAGCTCTATTTCAGCCAATGTGTCCATGTACAGCTCTATTTCTGCCAATGTGCCCATGTACAGCTCTGTTTCAGCCAATGTGTTCGTTCACAGCTCTTTCATTTAATGTGTCCATGCACAGCTCTATTTCAGCCAATGTGCCCATGTACAACTCTGTTTCAGCCAATGTGCTCGTTCACAGCTCTCTTTCATTTAATGTGTCCATGCACAGCTCTATTGCATCCAATGTGCTCGTTCACAGCTCTTTCATTTAATGTGTCCTTGCACAATTCTATTTCAGTCAATGTGCCCATGTACAGCTCTTTTTCTGCCAATGTGCCCATGTACAGCTTTGTTTCAGTCAATGTGTCCATACACAGCTCTAATGCAGCCAATGTGCTCTTTCACAGCTCTCTTTCATTTAATGTGTCCATGCACAGCTCTATTGCAGCCAATGTGTCCATGCACAGCTCTATTGCAGCCAATGTGTCCATGCAGAGCTTTATTGCAGCCAATGTGCTTGTCCACAGCTCTTTTTCATTCAATGTATCCATGCACAGCTCTGTTTCAGCCAATGTGTTCGTTCACAGCTCTCTTTCATTTAATGTGTCCATGCACAGCTCTATTTCATATAAGTAAAAATGCAGCGCTGCATTTTAATCATATGTTATAAAAAAATTTTTTTATATCTATGCCTATTGCACACAGCTTTGTTATGCCATTGAGTGCTGACCCATACCATTTAGAGACTAACACAGCTCTGTTTCAGCCAATGTGCCCATGCACAGCTCTGTTTCAGTCAATGTGCCCATGCACAGCTCTGTTTCAGTCAATGTGCCCATGCACAGCTCTGTTTCAGCCAATGTGCCCATGCACAGCTCTGTTTCAGTCAATGTGCCAATGCACAGCTCTGTTTCAGTCAATGTGCCAATGCACAGCTCTGTTTCAGTCAATGTGCCCATGCACAGCTCTTTTTCAGTCAATGTGCCCATGCACATTGTGGGGTTAGGTTCATATTTCTGAGCAGCATTCAGTGACATAAAAATGCCTCAAACCTGCACTTATAGAGGAACCTACTTGGCATAATTTATGCACATATACATGTAAACCTGCGCATATGTGTGTAAATTAATTATAGCGGCTAGAATAAATCAGTGCTGTGGCTAATAGAATGAGTTTACACACGTATGTCTCAAAACTCCATTCTTGCATAAATGTGCACCAAAACAAGCCTTTTTATGCTAGAATTTTCTGGCTGCTCCTAGCAGAATGATCCAGCGCACATAGGAGGTTTTTAATAACCCTGTATGCATGCAGCCTAAAGGGTAGCCACCATATCTCTTATAAGATCCATAGTATTTCTGCCTCCATGGTGGGATGAATAGGAAGGATCCTTAGAGTAATAAAGGTTATTGGCTGATACTTATTGAGTGTTGAGTATTTACTCAACACTTATATCAAATGTATATGTAGATGAGCCTATTGTCTCTAAGGACAGGCTGACATATTGAGCCTTGTTGTCAAACTTGTCTGAAAGTGTCACTATAACCGATTGTGTCCTGATCCTCCTTTTTTTGTTCCGTTTGGTATTAGAAACTTAAAAAGCAATCTGATTACAAAGATGCTCCTTACTTAAGATTTCCATTGTTCTTTGTCTTTCTTGGTACAGGTAAGAAGCAGGATTCCTGGTTTGTGGTAGATCCGAAATCTGGAGAGAAGCAGACCACTCTGTCCACAGAGTCATCAGATGGATTGTGTCCATCGTCCCCTCTGCTGTATATTGGACGCACACGTAAGTTCAACAGATTTTCCTATAGCTGCCTAAAGGTGAAACTCGAAAAATTAGAATATCGTGCAAAAGTTCATTTATTTCAGTATTGCACCTTAAAAGGTGAAACTAATATATGAGATAGACTCATTACTAAGCTTGATTGGCCAGCAAACTTGCCTGACCTGAATAGAGAATCTATGGGGCATTGCCAAGAGAAAGATGAGAGACATGAGACTGAACAATGCAGAAGAGCTGAAGGCCCCTATTGAAGCATCCTGGTCTTCCATAACACCTCAGCAGTGCCACAGGCTGATAGCTTCCATGCCACGCCGCATTGAGGCAGTAATTGCTGCAAAAGGGGCCCAAACCAAGTACTGAGTACATATGCATGCTTATACTTTTCAGAGGTCCGATATTGTTCTATGTACAATCCTTGTTTTATTGATTGCATGGAATATTCTCATTTTCTGAGATTGTGGATTTGGGGTTTTCATGAGCTGTAAGCCATAATCATCACAATAATGACAAATCACAGCTTGAACTATCTTGCTTTGCATGTAATGAGTCTATCTCATATATTAGTTTGTACCTTGTGACCTGGGCTGTTTTCAGTATATGAACCCCCTGCCATTTAACGATATTGTACTTTGTGGTCAGCACAGGTGCAATGGAGTATGTATACATCTGTGTATGATTTTCTGATTAGTTTAACTAACAGCGAACACTGCGTGATTAATAAAGACTGGCGAAGTATTAAGAAAAATTATTCATGTCCTAAAAAGGGGACATGGGCAGATGGGGATATTTGATGTGCCCAAAGTTAAAAAAAAAAAGAAATCGCAAGAAAGAAAGACTCATGCATAAAAACCTCATTTTATTTTTACATTAAAAAAATATTTAATTAATTAAAGCAAATGTCCCCAGCTGCAGTATTTAGCACTCAGTATGTTTCGCCCCAAAGAGGGATCCATTTGATTGTTGACTCTTTCAGACAATGCAGCCAAGAAGGTATAGAAGCACTGCATTAACATAAGGAACACAAAAGCATCCAAGGAACAAGACCCTCCATATCAACCGTTATATAATTGCCGCCGAGCCAATACATCACTCCAGCAGACTGTTAATGCATATAGGCATCACATTCAGACCCAATAACCAGATCAGTCGAATAAAGATGTTCCCACCAGGCAAAACCTGATAGGGGATAGCAGATAGTTGTCAGCTGGCAAGATGACCAAAAAGCCAGCTAATCATAGCACATAGGGTTAGGACTAATAACAGGTTTGGCTGAAACGCTATGTGATTAATAAAGTTCAGTAATATTGACATGTTGGAGTGTGCTGGCTGGCTGTGCATGCTGATCGGATGTCGGTCGGCTGCTGGTTTTCCAGCATGTCCATTCAACAAAAGTCAGACAGGTTGCTGTAGACACTGGTTGAATGTTGGACTGTGCTGAACCAGATGATATTTGGCCTGTGTGTACCAGCCTTTAAGTGGTTGTAAACCTCAGACATGAAATACACTATATTGCCAAAAGTATTGGGATGCCTAAAATATGAGGAACCCTCCTGCGCTCAATGGAATGATTATTAAAATACAGCTGCTATCACTTGACTAATACCAATAAGTGCAAACAAAAAGAAAAAATAGTGAAGCGCTTATATCACATACATACAGTAAAGTGCATTCGAACAAAATAGAAATAAATTAATATAAATGTAATTCTAATATGCCTGTGTAACAACTCTATGTAATGAACCTTGATGCCTCCCTCTGGTGGGAGAAAAAAATAGTGCAACCAGATATGATTAAACTATATTGATACAATACACACTTTAAAAACCTATTATACCGTGCATATATCCAAATTCATAACGGAGTGTGAATAGATAAGTGAAACAAATTAATTGACCGCATAAAATAGTGCCTAATTCATATACATGCCATATACATCATAAGTGAAACAAAAAAAATGTCCATGCATGTGACTGTGCTTTTCGAAAACACACGTGATCTCCACTTCTAGGTGCAAATAATCTCCTCCAAATGGCAGCAATGCCTGCTCACCTCCCCTCCTTGACCCACACAGGGCCCCAAAGCAGTTACCACCTCAGTGGTGTATCTCCTCTGGCAGACTCCTTATTTCTCCTCCTCTCTTATTCAGACTCATAGAAAGACAAAAAAACTTTCCATAGTGGAGTATATTTATTTAGGAAAAGGTAAAACCACAAATAATTCCACTCACATGGTCCTCTTCATCAATAAGCGTTTTTACCACAGCCTATGGGTAAATCTGCATGCACTTGGGGGAATCCAATATGGCCGCGGCGTCCGGACATGCGTCACCAGGAAATGACGAACCCCATTGGGATGCCTGCCTTTACACGCACATGAACTTTAATGGCCCCCCAGTCTTAGTCTGTAGGGTTCAGTATTGATTTGGCCCCGCCCTATGCAGCTATAACAGCTTCAACTCTTCTGGGAAGGCCGTCCACAAGGTTTAGGAGGGTGTCTATGGGAAGGCTGGACCATTCTTCCAGAAGCACATTTGTGAGGTCAGGCACTAATGTCGGACGAGAAGGCCTGGCTCACAGTCTCCTCTCTAATTCATCCCAAAGGTGTTCTATCGGGTTGAAGTCAGGACTCTGTGCAGACCAGTCAAGTTCCTCCACCCCAAACTGGCTTATCCATGTCTTTATGGACCTTGCTTTGTGTACTGGTGCGCAGTCGTGTTGGAACAGGAAGGGGCCATCCCCAAACGGTTCCCGTAAAGTTGGGAGCATGAAATTGTCAAAGATGTCTTGGTATGCTGACGCCTTAAGAGTTCCCTTCACTAAAACTAGGGGGCAAAGCCCACCCCCTGAAAAACAACCCCACACCATAATCCCCCTCTCCACCAAACTTTACACTTGGCACAATGCAGTCAGGCAAGTACCGTTCTCTTGGCAACTGCCAAACCCAGACACGTCCATCGGATTGCCAGACAGAGAAGCGTGATTGGTCACTCTAGAGAACGCCACACCACTGCTCTAGAGTCCAGTGGTGGCGTGCTTTACACCACTGGAAACCCATTCCATGAAGCTCTCTATGCACTGTTGTTGTGCTAATCTGAAGGCCACACCAAGTTTGGAGGTCCTTAGCTATTGACTCTGCAGACAGTTGGCGACTTCTGCACACTGTGCGCTTCAGCATGCATTGACCCCACTTTGCAATTTTACGTGGCCTACTACTTGGTGGCTGAGCTGCTGTTGTTCCCAATTGCTTCCACTTTGTTATAATTCCACTAACAGGTGACTGTTGAATATTTAGTAGCCAGGAAATGTCACGGATGGACTTACTGCACAGGCGGCAACCTATCACGGTACCATGCTTGAATTCACTGAGCTCCTGAGAGTGACCCATTCTTTCACAAATGTTTGTAGAAGCAGTCTGCATGCCTAGGTGCTTGATTTTATACACCTGTGGCCATGAGATGATTGGAACACCTGAATCCAATAATTTGGAGGGCTGGCCCAATACTTTGGCAATATAGTGTATGAATAAGGCATATCCCTCTATAGTGTATCCCTCTGTGGTGTGTCTCAATCCAGGGCACTAAGTGTCTTTTCTGCCTCCTGCTTTATTCCTCTGCTATCAGCATGGATCACTTCTGACAAATTTTCCTGACTCCAAGTGAAAAATGGTGACAGGGGAGGGGCCTCCAGCAGATTGACAGCCTCAGCTCTGTTTCCTGTGAGTTGTGTGGAGAGGGGTATGTCTCCTCTCTCCAATCTGCTCTCAGAACTCTCTTCACACTTCTGCAAAAGTGTAACTTCAGCTTGCTGTCCCTTTTTTGACAGCTCTACAAGCTGTATAAATTCAGCACTTTGAACTGATGTAGAGAAGAGAAGACTGCAGATAGACAGGTACAACTTATGTGGGAGGATTTGTTTCATCTCTGTGTATCACCTGAGGCTTCATTAGGTATATGTAAGGGTTTACAACCACTTTAAGTCACATTCAACTGGTTTTGTTCTGTAATATTGAATACATTTCATAGCTTCTCCAAAAGCCATTTCTTCAGTTCTAATAAGTGTCAGGAGCTTACCCCAGGATTTATATCCAGACAGGTAGAGCAGACACCTTAATCCAATCACCTTCCAATGTGTAGATCCTCATGGCACTCGCTGGAAGTGTGTTGGAGAAGCTATGAAACATTTTTAACATTACAGAACAAGTCCAGTTGGATGTGACCTACTACTGCTAACCGCTTTCTGTGGTCAGATCTTTCTATCTGAGTAATACATACAGAGTAGGTGTATGTGATTAATTAATCTTGTCTCCCGTCAGCAATTCATAATTGAGCTTCATATTATTTGTTTGTGTCAGACCATTGGTCAACATTTGTTTTATTATACAGAATACATGATCACTATGTATGACACAAAGTCCCGGGAACTGCGTTGGAACGCCACCTTCCATGACTACTCCGCCCCTCTGTGTGACGAGACCTATGAATACAGTGAGTCCTGACCAAAAAGCTGGATGGAGTTTTTCTATATATTTTTTTTTATATTATGGGGAGATGTTGGGGCATGCAATCACAGTTCTGTACATAGATATTATGGATAGGTGAAAACAAAACATCTCAGTTACTTATAGCTGAAGTTTAAGTATGGCAATTTTTAGAATGTTACATAGGTCCCCCAGGACAAATGTAAGTACTTGTGTGCCATACCTGTAGCATCCACGTGGAAACTGGAAATCACTGTACTAGGCACAGCTACTACAGTGATTGTTGCTGGCTCCCAGGTCGAGCAGCTGCTCTTCTGGATACTGAACAGAGAAGGTTGCTCGCTGAACATGGGCGCAATACAGAGAACGTTTTGCATTTTCAAATGCAAAGTGTTCTGTGATTGGACAAGGTGAAGATTGTGACATCATTGCTCCACCTCTCCACTTCATCCAATCAGAGAATGCTTTGTATTTATTGGGAAAATACAGAAGCCTTCCTGAATGGTACCTGTGCTGACCTCCTGTGTTCACAATGCAGCAGGGCAGCCATTCGGCACAGAAACCAGAAGCAAATGGAGATCACTGGCATAGCAGTGCCTACTACAGTGATTTTCAGCTTCCACAGGGATCCCACAGGTATGATACATACATACTTACTGTTCCATGCGTGACCCATGTAACTATTTAAAAATGACCATAACTGGGATTCAGATTTAAGTTCCGTATCACTTGTTTTGTTTTATTTGCTTTTTTTTTAATTATATATATATATATAAAACCAGCAGCTTTAGGCTAATAATATTCCCAACCTGTGTTAAAGCTGAACTCCAGGCAAACTGCTAAATACACAAATTCCTGCCACAGGATTTATATTTCTGTTCAGCCAGTCTGGTGATTCTGGACCTCCCTGCAGACTACATTGGCAATACAGCTAAGTCCAGGACCAGTCTCACCTGTACTTGGACAACAAAGGGGCAGCAGTGTAATATAAGCAGATTCATTGATCAGACTGCCAACTCTGTGGAAAGCTATAGACCTCCTAATTGGTGTAGAGTGCTGAACCTGCCTCTTCGGGGTTATATCTGCAGGATTCAGGTGCCTGGTATTTCAATGTTAAAATAATGTTTTTTGTAATAACTGGAATTTTTTTTTGTTCATCTTTAATCCTCTACCTAATGGGGAGATCCCAGACCAACACTGAACAATGAGTGTTAATTGGGTGAAGAAAAGATCTGATGGTTCTCTTCCAAATTCCCTTACATTTGGCAATGTTCAGAGTCCAACTCAGTTGTCACATATACAGACAATGCAGCCATTTTAAAAAAATTATTATCTGTTTTCCTGGTTAATATTGATCAGGGCCGGATCTAGCCTGTCCGATGTGGGGGTGCAGTTAAAACATGTCAGGGGGGCAGAGGATCGGAGGTTAGCAGGGCAGAGGGCAGGGGTCACTGCTGGCAGAGCAGAAGGCAGGGGTCACTGCTGGCAGGGCAGAAGGCAGGGGTCACTGCTGGCAGAGCAGAAGGCAGGGGTCACTGCTGGCAGGGCAGAGGACCAGGGGCACAGCTTCTTTTCCCATCCTTTCACTTCAAACAGCATAAGCACAGGTAGCAGAGCTCCTCCTCCCCACACAACACATAACTGGGATTAGTATAGTGGCAGGCTAGGGGTCACTGCTGGCAGGCTAGGACAGTATAGTGGCAGGCTAGGGTAGTATAGTGGCAAGCTAGGACAGTATAGTGGCAGGCTAGGGTAGTATAGTGGCAAGCTAGGACAGTACAGTGGCAGGCTAGGGGTCACTGCTGGCAGGCTAGGACAGTATAGTGTCAGGTTAGGGTTGGCTTTTGGGGGCACAGCTAAAATCTCGGGGGTCATAGCCTACCCCAGCACCCCCCCTAGATCTAGCCATGATATTGATGCCTCTTCCACAGCCTGTCTTCAATGTGTTCTGCATCTGCTGCCTTACCCTAGTAACACCCCTGACCGTGGTACTTGCACAGTCCTTGTACTTCGTATGTTTATTATTTCAACTGATCTTGGCTATTTGGTTGTTCCCCGTACAGAGATGGCTCACTTTGCCTCCACCGGTGATGGGTTACTGGTCACAGCCGACCGGAGTAGCGGACAAGTGTTGTGGATGCAGAATTATGGCTCGCCTGTGGTCGGGCTCTTCATGTGGCACCAGGATAGTCTGAGACGGATCTCTCATCTCAACGTGGCAACGGAGACATTGCGCTACTTAACGTTCAACTCTCAGGACATCCTACTGATCAAATGGAATTACCAGGCTGTGCAGGAGCTGAGCAGCACAAAGACACATCTACTGTGAGTAGATACACTACCCTGCGGCACAGCCGCTAGTTCAGCAGAATGACTTGGTCACCATACTCGGTGTTTACAGCAGTGCTGTTGTATGGAGCCTCTCCATTGGAGTAGCAACAATACTAAATGGCATTCTTCTATGGATTGATGGAAGCCCAAGATTTTTTTTGGTATCATTTTGGTAACCCCTTCCACAGTCATAATTCACAATTGAAAATTAAAGTGAAGCAGTGCATGACCTATGCAGGAAAATGCACAAGGTTCACTAAACTGCTAGGCTCCCAAACTGTAAATACTCCTCTTCCTTCCATTCCCCCTACGCTCCATTCAGCGACAGGAAACAAAGGCCTGTGTAAGCTCAAAGTTTTGACTTGGAGCTTACACATATCTAAGGACTTTTCCCACAACAAAGTTACAGCACTTGTTACCTGACTGACTCATAATCAAACACCGGCACTGCTGCCTCTTTTTCCTGTCTGAATCCTTCAGTGCAGGGGGAATACAAGTCAGTAGACAAAAAGATTAAAGTAGCATTTAAAATATATTTTTAAAGTGTATCTATAGCCAAACTCCAGTCAAGCTATCTTTTGCCATTTTTGTCCCTTGTGGCGGTATTCACAACTCTTTCTACACTAGTGATCATTGTGAACTATTGCGTTGTCACCAGAACAGGAAACAGGGGAAGTCTTCCTAAGGAAACAATTTAGTGGTAACAACAATCTAAAGCCGGCCAGGGACGGATCAACATTCAGCAGGAACCGGACGAATTTCAATCCATCTATGGGCATGCTGGTTGTACTGAAGGCAAACGATCTCTTTCAGTACAATCAGTCTGTCAGGTTTTTTTTGTTCATTCACTGCTGGCAGCTATAGCCGCCAGCAGTGATTATTGTATTCTGACTTCTGGGAAACCTCCCGCTGTCAGACTACAATAGCGCAGCAGAAGGGATTCCCCGATCAACATTGACTATGTCAGTTGAAGGAAAAAACATTGTGTAATGTATAGCCAGCCTTAGGGAGGCTTCCCCTCACTTTAGACAGGTTTACATCCTAATGTGCCTGTGGGACTAGAAGTAAAGGGAAATCCTTTCAATTCATTTTCTTTTTTTTTTTATATCCTCCTTTATCTTTAGTGAAATGTACTAATCACATGTGTTTCTCTCTCTATCCAGGCCATCATTGTATGTCGGGAAGCATGCCAGCGGATTCTATGCCTCCACCTCACTAATCCATGAGGGAGTCTCTATTGTGGTAAGAATATGAGCTAATAGAACTAACAAGAGAGGTGGATTCCCCCATCCCCCCCTGCTTCTGTTGATTTGAAGACTGCCATTCACTGATCAAAATTAGGCCAGTCCCTGCTGGACCCGGTGAATTTTGATCACTTTATGTCCAGCTTAAAAAAAAAAAAAAAAAAAGGGTCCCCTGCAGGTTTTCTACATAATGTGCAAGTATGCACCACATGCTAGCGCATTATGACAGACTTACCTGCAAATGGAGCACTCTAGTACAGCACTGTCATGGCTCCCCTGGTGCTTCCTTCTTCACTGGTCTTCCCTCGTAGGCTCCGGCTGTTTGAATGGCTGGGGCCACGATGACATCACTCCTGCGCATGCGAACGGGAGCCGCGGCACACTGCTATACATTGCACAGTATACTGTATGCCCTTAATGCAAAGCTTCGCATGCGCGGGGGTGACGTCATGAACTATTGCTGATGTGAATATCTCCTAAACTTGCATATTTAGGAGATATTCATTGTACCTACAAGTATGCTTGATTGTAAACATACCTGTAGGTGAAAGTTTGAATACAGACTTTACTACCGCTTTAGGTGACTGACCCAAAACATGTATGCAGCAAGTGGTTTGCGAACTCCTGTTCTTCATGCTTGTTCCAGATCAGAGACTCAAGGTGTTGAAGATAAGAGAACCCATGGATCACCTAGACAACTTCTATGTTCAGAAGGCAGAGAGAAACGAAGGCCTTTCATTGCTAACCTCCTAAGCATGCTAGTTGCTTTGCTATCTTTGGCTCCAGTATTTTCTAACCTGTAACAAGCATGCAGATGAGAAAGTTCCTGATTTGCTTACTTGTTACAAATAAGTGCCTCAAATGTTTTGAATCCTTTGGATCACCATGACAGCTATACGATTAGCATTTTTAGAGACGAGCTACGGTAGCTTCCTAATCTTTCAGTGCAGGTTTTCCTTAAGCATGCTTACGGTAAAATATTTGCTATTTACAGAATATCCACTGTAGTAGTGGTTGATTACCCTATACTACCTAATTATTGATTGCAGAGCTCAAAATGGTCACTCGTAAAAGTCATATTCTCAGTTGTTGCTTGTTGTTGAATGTCCAGAAGCTACTGATAACGAGAAGGCTTGTAATGTGATCTTCTCTAAGTTTGGTTTTCTGTTTTGTCACATGATCTAGCCACGTGGAATCACCCTGGCCCGGATAGAGGGTCCCACTACCAAGGATGTCACACTGAAAGAGTCTACAGAATTTGATGTAACACCCAGCACAGATGTCAAATACCCACATGGTGGTGTGGTTTCTGCCAGCCAGTGGCTGCTGATAGGTAAGAGGGTTGGCCAGACCAATTAGAGGGAACTGAGCTATCACAACATTGCTATATGGCTGAATGAAACTGAACCATAGGTTGCAGGAAAGAAAATTGCTTGATTCCCCGCCAGCAGAGCACTATGATCACTGCTGTCAGCTATAGCTGCTGGCAGTGATTGCATGAAGAAAAAAAAAATCTAACAGGTTGGTCGTACTGAAGTCAATTGATGAATCCACTTCAGTACAACCAGCCTACTCATAGATGGATCAAATCTCGGCTGTCTCTGCTGAACTGGCCAAGATTTGATCCATCTATGGCTGGCTTTAATGTCACTTTTGTTGGACGGCTTGGTCTGCACATACATGTAAAGAAAAACATCTAAATAATGAAATTTAAAAGAAATTCACATACTAAAAACAATCATTACAGGTGGTAACACCATACAGTTACCAGAATATAATATATTCCTTTATAGTGGCCCTTTAAAGTGTATGTAAAAAACAAAACTTTTCTTTTAGTTTTGGATAGAGTGAAGAAAGTTTAGATTATCAATGTGTTGTTGCTGTATGTGTCCCAGTTGGGGCGATTCATCCTTTTATTATACTGGTGGCCACTGTCACCGGGACAGAAAGTACGGGGGAATAGAGCGTATCAGAGTTGCAATCTGAACAAAAGGTGAAGGGTAAATCTTGCATTGGGACAACTGCCCATGAAGGGAACTCCGCTCTTTGGGGGATTTTTCTCTCACTTCCTGTTGCCTTTCTGGGACAAGAAGTAAAGAGAAAACTCCACAATAGCGAAAAAAATATATGTATCATATGTATCTATTGAATAATGTTGACATTTTTTATCCCCAGGTCACCACGAGGTGCCGCATGTTGTTCATACCACAATGCTGAGAGCATTTCCAGAGACACTGCAAAGGGACACAGAGTCCGTCATCCGAGGCCCGGCTCCAAGGACTTTGTTTGATGATGTAAGATTTATGGTGAAAAATATAATCGTATTTAGTGGCTTACCTGCAAGTTCAGTTAATGTATAGTAAACTATATTGAGCATTGAACATCTCAATTTTTAAACTCAGTATTTTTAAGTGCTAAAAGAGAAATATAAACTTTGTCAAGAGCCATTCTTAGTGTATGTAAAACCAAGGTTTGGATGGAAGGTGTAATGGTTAGGACCATTTTTAGGTTTAGACATTTAGCGCTCCACCATCTCACCTACAATGCTCTGCACATTGGAAGACTCATGTTGTAGAACATCCAGAATACTTACAGTGTGGCAGAGTGTCTAGAGGAGAAAATGTTTGAAGCTTTTCTATAAACTCTAGAGCAGTGTTTCTCAACCTTTTTTCAGTCAAGGCACTCTTTAAAATTATGGACAGTCCCAAGGCACCCTTTAAAATTATGGACAGTCTTGAGGCACATCATTCTAAAATGTGAAAAACTATTCTAATAGTTTTATATAATGCAGCAACATCCACACATGTAGGACACCCAACATTAGAGGTGATTTATTCTTCCAAAGCAAATACACTTTTGCACACTGGTACCGACTAGTATTCCAGTGTTTCTCTTCTCCCTCAGTTTTTCTGTATTACTGAGCTAATGTGACCACAGTACTGATGGAGAGGGGCAGGGGAGGGTCATACTAGGATGCTGTGCTGGCAGCTGACATCCTCCTTATCAACTGATGTCATTGGTTGTCAGTATGCCGGATGCTAGAAGGTAGTAATGGTGCACAAAAAAAACCTGTGACTTTCTATAACTAAAAGGCAGGCTTGTTGCACCCGCTGGCCTGTATACAAATTTTGGGCAAGTTCTAGACATTTTGCCACGGCACCCCTGAAGAAACCTCAAGGCACCCCAGGGTGCCTGGGCACCCTGGTTGAGAAAGGCTGCTCTAAAGGAAAGAAAAGTGTACTGCTCATAGAAACCAATCAAATTCTAGCTCTTGTGTAGTTCAGGTTAGAAAATGAACATCTTTTGTCTTTTTCAGCCTTTCTGGACAGTTGAAATTTCTTTAATTAGACTGTCACCATCCTAATGGCCATGCCTATCCCCTTTTGCAGTTTAGGACCCCACAGAATCAAGGTGGGATCCCTCAGGGTGACACTGAAGGGCGGTTGAAGATGGAGAGCAACAAACAAGAAGCTGGAATTGTGCTTCCTGACTCATCAATCACAAATCTACTTATCATGGGAATAGTGACACTTCTTCTGGGAGGATGGGTGCTCTTTGGCCTCACATACCCAAAGGTAAATGTTGTATGAACCCACTTAAATAATATCAGCTGGGCCAACCAGTGCACACATTTATCATCCTTCTTTTTCTCTGAATCAGATGCAGGAGCAGCAGCGTCTGCAGCAACAACAATTACAACAGCAGCTTGAAGAGAAACTACTGCATCTCCAACAACAGCAGAACACGACCACTGAGGTTGCTCTGTCCACATCTTCTGGAGAGACCTTGGTGCTGTCCGGAGAGCAGAGGACTGGCAGTGGTGGAAGACAGAGTGGAGATATGGAACAGAGCCAAGCTAATGGAGCAAAACGTCTGAGCAGAGATGATGGGGAGGTAGAAGGTGAGGGAGGAAGAAGGTCCCCAGTCATGGACCAGTGTAGAACAACTTCTGTATTTTTCATGTCCATTGAACTGGATAGTATACAGTATGTAAGCAGTGTAACTAAGTATAGAATTCATGAGTATGAGTGGGGTGAAACAAATTCATATTCTTGGAGAATGCTGTGGAGGCATTTTCTGCAATAATTTTTTCCAACACTGCTCCATAAAGAAGGTTTTGCTGTCTTGCAGCTTGACTGCTAATTATGAATGGAAAGGGGAGGTTCTTATGTGGACCTATAGGAGGGACAACAGATTGAAGAAAAGGGGAAGTACTTAAGTGGAGGAAGAACAGATTGGAGGGACTTACGTGAACCTATAAGAGGGGAGTGGACAAATCATCTGTCTGTTTAATGGCCACAACAGTTGGGTGGAGCCTATAAATAATGGTGGAGAGATATCTCACCGCTGTACACCCAGGAAAATATAATTTTAGCACATTTTTCAGCTTGCTAAAACTTGTGAAATCAGATTGTGTTTGAGGGAGTTTAAAGGATAAGTTCACCTTTTGGACAAAAATAATATTATTATTAGTTGAATGCAGCCCTTGGGTTGTAGGTTGGGCACCTGGATGCCAATTTGTTCTCCCGCTGAAGGGCTAGGTCTAATTCCTATGTAAGCAACATGAAAGTCGGTGTCAGAGCTTACACAGGCTAATGCCTAGTACACACACGAGGAGAAACTTGAGAGCCGATCATGACAGTCCATGTGAAAGTATCCAAAGGGACAAGCACGAGAATTTTTCTTGTACGCTACCAGAACTAACGATTTTCGTTTAATCAGTACAGTATTTGTTCAAAAACAAATCGAGTGACCAAGACCGCGCATGCTCAGAAAAAAAGCATAACATTACAATAAATAAATAATTTGCGCTAGTAAATGTGTATAAATGTATTTATTATTATATATATATATATATATTATTTATTTATTTATACACATTTACTAGCGCAAATTATTTATTTATTGGTACACTTTATATATGGTGATTTTTTGCAGCTGGTACACTATTAGTAAGTTATATAATTTTGACCATAGGCGCTATTATTAATTTTTCTTATAACATTACAATACATGACATCACTTCCGACGTAATTTATCGTAGGAGAATTTTCATAAATTTAGTAACCTCTTAATTTTCCATATGAGACTAGCATGCAAAAAAACCCAGACGATCATGCATCCGATATTCTCATCGCGTGTACAAGGCTTTAATGACCTTCTACATTCCCCCAGGTGTTTGATCATAATTTATGCAATGCATTCCAGGAGGAAGGGGAGAAGGTCACATGTTCTCTCCATACTGAAATGTACTGGGTAGCTTTTTTATTTGCACAATAATCTCCTTTTCAGTGTTTCATTTAACTTGTACAATATAATTTTCTTGATGCTGAACCTTCTTCCTGCAGGTATAGATGAGGAAGATATACAAGTGGGGAAAATCTCTTTTTCTCCCAAGGAAGTTTTGGGTCATGGAGCAGGAGGAACGTTTGTGTTCAGGTAAACAACACACCCACCTGATGAAAGCTAAGTGTCTGTTAATCTGGGATTCTCCGTGTTGGTAACATGGGTACCTTGGTGTGCAGGGGCAGATTTGATGACCGCCCTGTAGCAGTGAAGAGAATTCTGCCAGAGAGTTTCATGCTGGCTGATCGAGAGGTTCAACTACTGCGAGAATCTGATGAACATCCAAATGTCATCCGCTACTTCTGCACAGAGAGCGACAAGCTGTTCTGTTATATTGCCTTAGAGCTGTGTGCAGCCACTTTGCAAGAGGTGAGAGCAAATCTGTATGAATGACAAGATGGAGTACATGACACCACTGAACGGTGATGAGGAAGGACTGGGAAGTGTCTAGCCTCATCTTGAATAATGTGGATGGATTCAGCTTAATTTCAGCGTAGTTTATCATAGTTTGGGAAATAAACTCTCTGTAAGATGCTGACAACAAACCGTAAGATCTTTTATTTTTGCAGTATGGTTCAAAAATCAAAGGCAAAATGTGGTTGGTTGTAATCTTACCACTAATCCTTTACCCCTAACTCTCCCTTTAACTCTAAAACTAACCCTCCCCTGTAATCCTAACCTTAATCTACCTGTAATCTGAACAGTAACCCTGTATCCCTAGCACTAAGCTCCCCTGTAACTCTAAAACTAACCATTTCTGTGTTCCTAATCCTCCCTGAAACCCTAACACTAATCTCCCTAAACCTCTTCCCGTCCAGCCCATGTATATAAACGGCCGGATGGGAGCAGTGCAGGAGCAGGTTGCCGTTCACAAACGGCACCCGCATTTTCAGCCTGTGCGCGTACCGATCGCTGTACGGGACCACTATGTGAAGTCCCGATCATGTGATCACTGATTGGCCAATCAGTGATCACATGAATAGTAGTAAGCAAGATGTCACTTCTGACATCATTGCTTACTACTAGTGAAATCTGCAAATGATCACAGAGGTCACATTGTATAAGGCTATTCACAACAGCCTTGTACCATGTGACAAGCTGTGACCAATCACAGATCTCACAGTATTTCTCAATGGCTACAAGAATGCAGCCAGAGAGGAGAAATGATTGCTTTTACAGCCTTTATAGGTAAAAAAAAAAAAAAAAATCTTCATCACCCCCCCCAACACAAGTAGTAGAGTGTCACTATGGTGACACTGTACTGCTAGGATGACAATATTTAAAAAAAAAAAAAAAACATAAATAATAATATAAAAAATGTAAAAACATTTTTTGAAAAATTATAATTTTTGGTTATAAACTAATTTGGGTTATTTTTTTTTTTTACTAAAAAGATAGCTGAATACGTTGTGGCCAAGATTTATGAAGAAAGGTTATTTATTTGCAAAATGTTATGAGAAAAACACTTTTTTTTTTTAAAATGTTTTGATTTTTCATTTATATAGCAAACAAATAAAATCCCAGTGGTGAATAAATACCACCAAAATAAAGTTTTATCTGTCTCAAAAAATTGCTAAACAATTCATATGAGTACAGTGTTTCATGACCGCGCAATTGTCATTCAATGTGTGATAGCGCTGAAAGCTGAAAATTGGCCTGGGCAGGAAGGGGGTGAAAGTGTCCGGACTGGAAGTGGTTAAAACCCAGAAATGAACCCTCTCTGTAACCCTCACACTAACCCTCCCTTTAGTTCTGATTCTAAACCTCCCTGTGATTCTCATACTAACTCTCCTTGTAACCCCATCTCTCGAACACTAATCCTCCCTATAATGCTGAAACTAACCCTCTCTGTAACCCTAATGCTAACCTTCCTAGTAAAGCTTGCAGTAACCCTTCCTGTATTCTAAGGGTAGATTTAGACATGAGTCCAAATCCTCCTTGCCTCTGAAGCCCAATTCGTGTTAGGATCGCACTTCAGAGGCTACTGACAGGCGGTGAGGAAGCAATGTGACGCCTCCTCACCGCCTGTTTTAACCCCATTTCTGCCTTTTATTGCATATAGTTGCGGGGCATTTGCAGTGCGTTGACTTGCATGTGTAGCGCAGACCAGTACATGTCGGGTCAACTCTGCTGCAGTATGAACACATCTGAGTCCGCTGTCTATTGAAGCTTAAAGCGGAGTTCCTCTCACCCTGTCAAAAAATAAGTCAGCAGCTACAAAAACTGTAGCTGCTGACTTTTAAAAAACAGCCACTTACCTGTCCTTTGGTCCCGTGGTGTGTCCCCTGCAGCTCGTTTCACCGGTCGTCCTGTATTCCAGGAGGCCGGCCTCTTCAGTGTGGGCACCCGGCTGTGATAGCTTGCAGCTTCACAGCCGGGTACCCACTGCGCATGCGCGAGTAGCATTGCTCTTCATGAATGGTCCTGTAGTCTTCTGGGACCTGTCACGTGTCCCAAAAGACTACAGGGAGGGAGGACACCTTCTGTTCGTCTTCACCACCGCTGGTTTTACTGGCTGTCTTCTCTCCCTGGCGCCGGCATCTTCAGTATAGGCATCCGACTGTGACAGCTTGCGACTTCACAGCTGGGTGCCCACTGCGCATGTGCGAGAAGCATTGCGTTTTGTGAATGGCCCGTAGTATTCTGGGACCTGTCGCCTGTCCCAGAAGACTACAGGGAGGGGGGTTGGGAGGACGAGGTCCGCTTACAATTGCCTTGGTGATTGCAGCAGAGGTGGGAGCGGGTGCCTGTCAAATTCAGGTACCCGCTCCCCCCCAGCTCTCCAAAGGTGCCAATCCTTAAAGCGGAGTTCCACTCATCCTGTCAAAAAATAAAAGTCAGCAGCTACAAAAACTGTAGCTGCTGACTTTTAAAAAACAGCCACCTACCTGTCCCTCGGTCCCGTGGTGTGCCCCCCCGCAGCCTGTTTCACTAGCCGTCCTGGTTTCCAGGAGGCCGGCATCTTCAGTGTGGGCACCCGGCTGTGACAGCTTGCGGGTACCCACTGCGCATGCGCAAGGAGCGCTGCGCTTCATGAATGGTCCTGTAGTCTATTGGGACCTGTCACGTGTCCCAAAAGACTACAGGGAGGGAAGACACCTTCCACTTCTGACGAGGCGATCGGACCGGAAGTGGGAGCGGGTACCTGCTCCCCGCCCCCCAAAGGTGCCAATCCTTAAGGGGGAGCAGTCCTTGAAGCGGAACTTCCCCTTTTCAGTGGAGCTCCGCTTTAAGGGGGGGTGTTGCCAGGTGACAAAAACTTTTCTGTGCTGTAACCAGCATTTGTTAATGTGGTGATCAGACTTCACAGGAATCTGATGCTTTTGTGACCGGTGTGCCTGTACAGTTGGAAGCCAATGAGGTTGTTGCTGTGGCTGCAATAATGAAAGATGCTTTAATCCTTGGAGATAATTGATTATATAGGTTGACATCACTTGAACTTTGAACGGAACAGTTTTTATTTTAACCATGTCTTTGTTTTTTTTTGTTTTTTTTTCCCCCTACAGTATGTGGAGAATCCCAACTTCCATTGCAGCGGTTTAGATAACGTGACCGTCCTGTTCCAGGCCATGTCAGGACTGGCTCATTTACACTCTCTGAGCATTGGTGAGGACAGGTTGATCATCTGCAATTTGTTACACTTCATGTGAACCCACAGCCTTTCAGGACAACAGTTCCCAAATGTACAGCTCAGTCACATCGCTCACTGTATGTCTTTGCCTTAAAGTGAAATTCTGGGGTAATACTAAGCTCAAAACGACTCCCTCCCCTCATCTAACACCTATACTAACCACCCTGTAAAGGAAAGATGCATTTCCTTACCTATTCTTAGGGCATTCTGCTTCAGTCACATTGGCTCTTCTCTCAGCTAGCTGTGGCTTCAGTGGAAAGGATGGAGCTCTGATAATGGATGGACCATAGTAAGCCTCTCTCCTCTCCCCTGTAGCCTGTCCCGAGGAGTCCATGTGAATGGACTGGAGTGCCTTGAGAATAGTTATGTATATGCATCTTTCTTTTACAGGGTAGTTTGTATAAGTATTAAAAGGGGGTGGGAGCAGTTTTAAATCGGAGCTTCAGCCAAAATTTAAAAAATGGCTGACTAAAAAAACAGACACCTGTCCCTCGATCCAGTGGTGTCCTCACCGCAGCAGGGTTCACTGGCCATCCCGTGTCCCTGATGCCAGCATCTTCAGTGTGGGCACCCAGCTTAGACAGCTTGCAGCTTCACAGCTAGGTGCCCACTGAGCATGCTCGAGTAGCGCTGCGCTCCGTGAATGGTCCCATAGTCTTTTGGGACCTGTCATGTATCCCAGAAGACAATGGGGAGGAAGGGAGAAGGACAACTTCCACTTCCGACTGCCTGGAAGTGGGAGCGGGTACCTGTCAAATGGCCCACTTCTAGCTCAGCAGTGATGGCCCCCTTACTTGGTATTAAGCTACATTAAAGAAGAGTTCCAGGTATGGATACTTTTTCATAGTTAAATAGGTTCAGCTTGGAGCAATGCACCTATGCATGTACCATCCCTCTAGAACCTGGAAATCATTCTAGTAGACACCACTACTCTAGTGATCTCCATTAGCTTCAGGGTCTCATATGGAGTGGCTGCCCTGCTGCATTCTAAACACAGGAACTCGGCAGTTCAACATGGGTGCCATTAAGAGATCGCTTCACATTTTTTAAATTAATGCAAAGTATTCTGTAAATAGATAAGGTGGAGAGGCAGGGAAGTGACATTGTGCATCTCCATGTCCAATCAGAGAATGCTTTGCATTCACTGGAAAAATGCAAAGCAATCTCTGAATGGGGCATATGCTGAGAGGTGGATCTCCTGTGTTCTGAATGCAGCAGGGCAGCTGCTCGGCATGGGATCTGGAAGCTAATGGATTCTATTGGAGTAGTGGTCTTTGCTACAGGGATTTTCGACTTAAAGAGGGATCCCGCAGGTATGATTTATGCACCAATGTAATTATATAAAACTATCCATACCTGGATGTTGCCAATTAGATATGCAGGCTCTACTTTCCTGCTTAAATTCCTGCACATTGTCAGTGCATTATTGTTCCTCTCAATAAATGTTACAAATAAACTCAATACTGTAGTGCAGCATGCAGTTCCTCAGTGATTCTGCCAGTCTCCCTTTAATAGAGATTAGAATTGTCACTGAAAAACTCTTTCTAGAGCTTGAGTTAAATACAGTCCTGATTGGCGTATCCTGTAGATGACTGTCCTGCAGGAGTCAGTCAACAACAATACTACTGCACTAATATATACAGATAGTCAAAAAGGGCTAATTTACAAATGAAACCCATGAAATAAAATATGGGATATTTAGGTGTGTATTTGACTCACATAGGCTACAAAGTTTTACCATATTGTCCTCACACAGAGAAAAATGCAGATTCAACCACAGTAAAAATCAGTAAGGTATCCCAAAGGAAACAAAAGGTGAATACATGCTTCCCTACTAAATTATTATTATTATACAGGATTTATATAGCGCCAACAGTTTGCTCAGCGCTTTACAATATAACAGGAGACAATACAGCAACAATACAGTTCAATACAAGAGGGATAGGAGGGCCCTGCTCCTTGGAGCTTACAATCTAGGAGGGAGGGGCTAGTGGTACAAAAGGTAGTAACTGTGGGGGATGGACTGGTAGGAGGAATAGAAGATTCCGTTATTAGCTGAAGGCAGGATAGGCTTCCCTGAAGAGATAGGTTTTCAGAGATCACCTAAAAGTGAGCAGAGTAGGCGATAGTCTGATAAATTGGGGTAGAGAGTTCCAGAGGATGGGGGAAGCTCTGGAGAAGTCCTGGAGACGAGCATGGGAGGAGGAGACAAGGGAGCTAGAGAGCAGGAGGTCTTGCGAGGAGCGGAGAGTACAGTTTGGGTGATATTTAGAGACAAGATCGGTGATGTAATTTGGGGCAGTTATAAATGGCTTTATATGTTATTGTTAATGTTTTGAATTTTATCCATTGGGCAATGGGAAGCCAGTGGAGGGATTGGCAGAGAGGGGTGGCAGATACAGAACGGTTCCTAAGGTGGATGAGTCTGGCAGCAGCATTCATGATAGACTGAAGAGGGGATAGCCTGCGATGAGGTAGGCCATTGAGGAGGGAGTTACAATAGTCATGATGAGATATAACAAGGGAGTGAATAAGTTGCTTAGTAGTTTCCGAGGTTAGGAACGGGCGTATCTTGGAGATGTTGCGGAGGTGAAGTCTACATGATTTGGACAGTGATTGGATTTGGGGCTGAAAGGACAGATGGGAGTCTAGGATTACACCGAGTACCCGGGCATGAGGGGAGGGGGACTGACGATTGTGTTATTGATCTTGATGGAGAAGTCAGAGGAGAGGGCACGGGCTGGGGGGAATACTAAGAGCTCAGTTTTGGAAAGATTGAGTTTGAGGAAGTGGAGTGACATCCATGCCGATATGTCACATATGTATTTCTTGCACATATTACTACAGTAATATTGTTTTTCTTGTTGCAGTGCACAGAGATCTGAAACCTTGCAATATCCTCATCTCCTTGCCCAATGCCCAGGGCAGACAGAGAGCTGTCATCTCAGACTTTGGCCTGTGCAAAAAGCTGGGAATAGGGAGAAGCAGTTTCAGCCTGCGCTCTGGTATTCCAGGGACTGAGGGCTGGATCGCACCAGAGGTTCTACGTGATGGGCGAACGCAGAACCCAGTAAGTATTTTTCAGTAGAGAAAGATGGCTGTTCTGAGGGTATATTAGATGTGGCTTGAAGTGGAGCTTCAGCCAAAAAGCCATTTTGATCGTAAAAATAGAGTAGGGGAAGTATGCAAACTTTGGCAGGTTATATTGCTGTCTGTGACTGCCCTCACTGCCTGCCCCAAAGAAGCAACAAGAAGTGAGGGGAAATCTTGTTTTACCCCCGGTTTACATCTGTGCGGGTGGTGCCGCTGCGGATCCGCACGAAAATCCGTGCAACCGCACCACCTGCACAGAGAATTGTGGACCCGCAGGCAGGTGCCATTAATTCTAATGGCACGCCGTCTGCACTGGGAAACGCAACCGTACCGGGAACCAAGGTTCCCGTGTGGGCTGCGATTTCCAAAGTATTGCAGGGACTTCTTTCCCTGCGTGTCACGGGCACGGGAGTCCATTCAAATGAATGGGCTCTCGTGTCCGAGCAAAACACGGCCCGCACAGCCACAAGGTGTGAACCGGGGGTTAGGGCAGATCCCACTTCTGACAGATGTCACCAGAACAGGTGTCCCTATGAGAAGATTTCCCACTTATGTTCAGATGACAAGTGAAAAATGTTTCTTTTCTTCTGTTCACATAATAATGTCATTTGAAAATTGTTCTGCCGAACAGGATTACAGAAAGCATTAAAAACCTGACAGTGATTCTAATCTTTCCACACTCTTCCCAAAACTAGGATAGGTTTTGGCTGAAGTCCTAGTTTAATAATTCAAGGAGACAGCTGGAGTCCATAAATACATAACCTTCAAGGACAAAGTGTCTTATCATCACATACAATTTTTTTTTTCCTAGACATCAGCGGTGGACATATTCTCAGCCGGTTGTGTATTTTATTATGTCCTGGCACATGGGAAACACCCGTTTGGTGACAGCCTCAGAAGACAAGGAAATATACTGAATGGGTCATACCAACTCCCACATTTGGAGGAGGAGACACACGGTAAGACACATGAAGATATTTGAATGGCTAAAGCAAGAACTGCTCTTGAAGAAGAGAGAACCTGATTGGTTTATTTTCGCAATGAGTACAGGTCTTACTAAGACACTTTGATAATATAATGTCCAACAAATGGAAGTTACTAATCAGCATGTCTTGTGTCTTGGATCCCAGAAAATGTAGTCGCACGGGATCTCATCGAGAGGATGATCAGCAATGACCCTCAGCTCCGGCCATCGGCAGCCTGTGTTCTGAGACATCCATTCTTCTGGTCCCGAGAGAAGCAGCTGCAGTTCTTTCAGGTCTGAAGAGTTGACTTCCTTAAAATGAACGTGTACTCAGTTATAAACTTTTATGTGAATGTTCTGCCTGGGGGGAAAGAACATAAGATGCCTGCTACTACCGTTATTAGCCAGGAATTTTTTTGGCACCCTCTCATTTAGCTTCACTTCCCTACTGGGGCCTGACTTTCCCTGCTATTCCACCTAAGTGTGACTCTTTCTGTGGCCAATAAGGGAAGTCTGCGTGGACAAGAGGATGACAGATGGTTAAGTTTAGCCATGATTTCAATGAAACTCATGCCATGGTAATATAGTGAAACTAAATCAGAGGGGAGCACAATACATGTTTTTCTGGTTAATAATTGTAATGAGAGGCATCTTGTTGCAGGGCAGTAGTTGCATGTTGTTGCAATGCACTGTATTAGCATTTTCACCATGTATATGTTTGGTTTTACATTTGGTTTGGAAATGCCAGTTGAATCTAACAGTGGGAGGCATTGTGTCTTGAACCTTCAGTTCCAAGTGAAACAATGGATTGTAAACTCATAAAACCATAAGAGTTATAATAGCACTTACTGGTTAAATACCAATACCTTAGATTGTACGTCCCTTGAGGGTTAGGGACTGATGTGAATGTACAATATATATATACAGTTGTGTTCAAAATAATAGCAGTGTGTTGAAAAAAGTGAATAAAGCTTAAAATCCTTCTAATAGCTTTTATTTCCATACACACAAATGTATTGGGAACACGACACATTCTATTCCAAATCAAAACATGAAGAAAAATATATCAAATTTGTGTTGTTCCTCTAAAAAAAATTGAAGAAAAGTGAATATTAGACTGTTCAAAAAAATCGCAGTGTTTGTATTCTTCTTTACAAACTCAAACATTCACTATATAAACTGAAAAATGTTTGAAGATTTTGCTTTCCTTTGAATGACTTCATGAATATTTGGTTGTAGTCGCACTGTTTCTGAGAACTGCTGTACATCTGTGTTGCATGGAGTCACCCAACTTCTGGCCCCTGTGATCAGGTATTCCAGCCCAGGATGATTGGACTACATTCCACAGTTCTCCTCTATTTCTTGGTTTTGCCTCAGAAACTGCATTTTTGATGTCACCCCACAAGTTTTCTATTGGATTAAGATCCGGGGATTGGGCTGGCCACTCCATAACGTCAATCTTGTTGGTCTGGAACCAAGATGTTGCACATTTTCTCGTGTGTTTGGGGTCGTTGTCTTGTTGGAACACCCATTTCAAGGGCATTTCCTCTTCAGCATAAGGCAGCATGATCTCTTCAAGTATTCTGATGTATTCAAACTGATCCATGATCCCTGGTATGCGATAAATAGGCCCAACACCGTAGCATGAGAAACATCCCCATATCATGATGCTTGCACCACCATGCTTCACTGTCTTCACAGTGTACTGTGGCTTGAATTCAGTGTTTGGGGGTCGTCTGACAAACTGTCTCCAGCCACTAGACCCAAAAAGAACAATCTTACTTTCATCAGTCCACAAAATGTTGCGCCATTTCTCTTTAGGCCAGTCAATGTGCTCTTTGGCAAATTGTATCCTCTTCAGCACATGTCTTTTTTTCAACAGTGGGACTTTGCGGGGGCTTCTTGCAGATAGCTTGGCTTCACATAGGCGTCTTCTAATTGTAACAGTCCTCACAGGGAACTTTACACCTTCTTTCATCTTCCTGGAGCTGATGTTGGCTGAGTCCGCGCCATTTTGGCTATTCTTCTATCCATTTGAATTGTAGTTTTTCGCTTTCTTCCACGTCTTTCAGGTTTTGGTTGCCATTTTAAAAGCATTTGTGATCATTTTAGCTGAGCAGCCTATCATTTTCTGCACTTCTTTATATGTTTTCCCCTCTCCAATCAACTTTTTAATTAAGGTACGCTGTTCTTCTGAACAATGTCTGGAACGACCCATTTTCCTCAGAATTTCAGAGAGAAATGCACTGTAACCAGCATGTACAACATTTGCTGCCTTCCTTCCTTAAATAAGGGCAATAATTGCCACCTGTTTTTCAAAGAATGAATGACCTCACTAATAGAACTCCACACTGCTATTATTTTGAACATGCCCCTTTCAATTAGTGATTCAATTACACAGAATCAGCAGCATGCATGTCATGACTGTTGGGTCTGTTGGATTTCTATTACTCTACTACACCTGCTAGTAAATTATTTGCCATGTAGAAATATCATTTCTACCAAAAACAGTGATTGATCAGGTTAGTGATGTCTGACTGATATTATTTTGAACACAACTGTATATATATATATATATATATATATATGTAAAGGGCTGCGTAAATTGACGGCGCTATATAAGTATAGGTAATAATAATATCTAGAGAGCAGACTTAATTAATTGTATTTTGGGCCTTTTTGAATTGAGCTTAGCTTAATCAAGAACCATGCAACAAAATGTATAGCCTTGTTCAATATACATTTACAAGGTAATAAATTCTGTTGTGCCATTCATGCAGGGCAAGCCAAAAGGTTTATGATACATGCCAAACAAATCTGAATATTTATGGGACTTTAAATGTGTCATGATCAGGGGGTCCGACTCGAAGAACAGTTGCTATAGCAGTAGCGGGACTTCCACCGACCGTCATGATAGATCTACAAGCAGGTCACCCTGGCAGATGACATGGGCTCACCTATGTACTAACCTGTGTTCACCAGAGCTCCTGATGGTGGAGATGGGTTCGGCTGCATGTTAGTACCAGGTCGCGGTCCTCAGCATTGCCACACCAAGAGATGAACAAGCTGTGGTCCAGTAGTGGATAAAGCAGGTAAGGATCAAACAGAAGTGGAGTCCATAAACAAGCCAAAGATCGGTAACAAGTGGTTACAGGTTGGAATCGGGCAGAAGCGTAGTCGAGGAAAAAGCCAAAAGTCAGTAACAAAGTGGTAACAAAAATATAGACGGCAGCAGGAAAGAAAACAGTGAAATATTGGCTGGAGGGGGCACAATAATCTGGAAAACAGTAAATGCAGATTCATGGCTAAAATCCGGAATCAGGAGCAAAGAGTGCAATGTTCAAGACAAACAAGGTTCAAGGCAGGACCATTCAAGGAATTGTCTGGGGAGCTACCCAGCATTGCAGATGGCTCAGCAAGAAGAGTTACTGCCAGACACAGCAATATGCCTCCAAAGGTGACACACACAATAACACACACATATTAAAAGTGATCACAAATTTATTACAATTGATAGAAAAAAAGCCAAAGGGGCTTATAAAAGTGCATATTGTAGACACAAAAGTACATAAATATCCACACTGAGAACTGATGTTTACGCGTTTCGCAGGATCCCCCGTTTCCTCAGGACTTTTCCGGTCTCATGTACATAACAGAACATTTTTTAAAATTATATGTACACAATCCTGGGAATTGAAGGGGATAAAGAGGCAGTCAACAAGTCCACCCAGCCCATGGGGGGACCCTAGACATATACCAGGGAACAGACAAGGGAACGCATGGGGTCCAAGCATAACAAAATCCTAATATTTAGACACTGAGGTATAATAGGATCCCCTACTGCATCTGCTGCTCCTTAAAAAGGATCTCGGTGATAAATCCCACCAGCTGCATGATCCTTTCCTATAGGATAGCAAGCTTGCTTTTGACAAGCCCCTTTGACAGTTTTTATCTATCAATTGTAATAAAATAGTGATAATTTTTATTATCTGTGTTGCTGTATGTGCCACTACTGGAAGCATATATTTAAAGTCCCATAAATCTTCAGATGATTTTTTTGTTCTTACCTAGGGATGATGCCTCCTGTAGTGTAGTTTTGTTGTTTAAGAATCCAACATTCCACCTAGATATATTTACAAACAGGTTTATGATAATGCCCCCGCCCCAGCAACATATGTTCACTTTTACCCACCAGAATCAAAGAAATCACCCAAAACTTCCTGTATGGAGGAGTATATGGCTTCCTCCATGTAATGGAGCCAGTGCTTTGCCGGAGTGTACTTAGCCTTGTATAAACTCCAACTAGACTGACTCTGAGCTTACACAGGGATGTCTGTCCTCACTCCTAGCAGCTGAATCAAGTGGCAAGATAGTGAGAGCAAGGTGTGTATGTGCTGAAGGGTAGGGAGGCAATTAACGTGATACTGTTGCATTGCCCCATGGGCAAAACCCTGTTTCACTTTAAATTAACCATGTCCCACAAAGCAGGTATTACTGAGCTCTGTACAACACAAATTATAAGTTTGACAATCTAGCCTTACAGGAAGTAGGTGATAAATGCACTTTAAAATGTTTATGGGCAGCACAGTGACTAAATGGTTAGCACTTTCGCCTGGCAGTACTGGGGTCGTTGGTTCGAATCCCAACCACGGCACCTGCCTGGAGTGTGCATGTTTTCCCTGTGCCTGCGTGGGTTTCTTCCGGGTACTCCGGTTTCCTCCCACGCCCCAAAGAGATGCTGGTAGGTTAATTGGCTCCTGTGTAAATTGTCCCTAATATGTATGAATGTGAGTTAAGGACCTTAGATTGTACACCCCTTAAGGGTTAGGGACTGATGTGAATGTACAATATATATGTAAATCGCTGCATAAATTGACGGCGCTATATAAGTACCTGAAATAAATCAAATGTTTATGGTTAGAAATGAATATCAGTGTATTAAAGACATGCTGGTAGGTGAATTAGCTACTGTCTAAATTGTCCCTAGTATGTGTATGTATGAATGTGAGTTAGGGACCTTAGATTGTACGCCCCTTGAGGGTTAGGGACTGATGTGAATGTACAATATATATGTAAAGCGCTGCATAAAATTGACAGCGCTATATAAGTACCTGAAATAAATAAATAAATATTATGAGGTGCTCAGAGACCAAACAATGGAGGTACATTTTGCTATTCTGTATAAAAAGATATAAAACTGTATTTGTGTGCTTGTTGCCTTCAGGATGTTAGTGATCGCATTGAGAAGGAGCCTCAGGACGGTCCAATAGTTGTTAGGCTGGAGACCGGAGCTCGTTCTGTTGTTCGTGTCAACTGGCGGTTATATATATCGGTTCCTTTACAGACAGGTACATTTATATTGCGAGTAACCAAGGACGTTGAACAGCATTGGGTTCTCGTGGGTGGCAGGAAAAAGTAGCCACAAGGAGCCCTGACAGTGCTGTTTATAGGGAAAGAATAGTATATCGCTCAAGCACATATTTTGCGTGATTATTGTTTGTATATTCTTGTGTATACATATTCTACAAATAATTACCATCTATACACAAATGTATGGGTTGAAACAATTTTTAGGCTCACATTTATTAAATATGGTGTGTTTTAGACTTAACATACTGTGATAAGGATTACAAGACAAATTGGTTGACAGCAGTCCTTTATAGCAGTGTTCTGAGTGGGACACCACTGCCAGTCAGCAACAGGGGGACAAATGTAGACAAATGTTTATTGATGAATTTTATGATAATGTTTTATTTAAAATGTAGAATTGTATAACTTGATGTTTTATCTAGTTATTTTAAAATAAACATTTTACACTGGGAGCCATTCCCTGGTGTATGTAGTACATGGTGGGCTAATAAGAAAGCCCAACACCTGCATTTGTTAGGGCTCCATGTATACGGGGCATTTGGAAAACTCTACTAAACTATGGAAACGTCAGTTTAGCTGCGTTTGCATACCGCGTTTATGTGCGTTTGCTCTTAGAAGTGTTTTTTTAAAAGATAACTTCAGGAGACCTTCCCAAATGCCCAGAATGCACTGAAAAATAGTAAAAGATTAACTTTTTCAGACATTTTGAGAGGAATAGAGAGAGCAGAAGCAGAGAGAGCAGTATGTGTGGAGATGACCTGTCTTTTCTGGTTGTATTCACTATGGATCCCATCATGAGCATAATGCGGCACGTTCTACCATTTTTTTCTTCACGCGAAACCCGGAACTGACTGCGCTGGTGTACCGGGTCCATTTGAATACATGGAAAACACTTTGCATGCATTTCTGATGATGAAAAAAGGCTCTGAACAGCATCTGGACATAAAACAGTTAAAAAACGCTTCTAAACGCAAACGCTTATAAATGCGGTTAGCCGAGTTTACAAGCGTTTGGTGTCTGAAACACCGGTAAAATCTACTACTGATTGCAAGTTTGGTGCGTTCAAAAAAGCGACTGCAAACTCAACTGCCTGTAAACGACTGTGTACATGGACACATAGGAAAACATTAGGGAGAGTTCAGGGGCTGCTGGAAAAAACGCTGAACAGCTCCTAAACGTCAGTTTAGGAGCTGCAGTGTACATGAGCCCTTAGTTCTACAGAATGGGGGAGATTTACAAAAACTGGAGCGCTCAGAATCCCGTGCAGCTGTGTATGGTAGCCAATCAGCTTCTAACTTCAGCTTGTTTAATGAAGCTTTGACAATAACACCTGGAAGCCGATTGGTTTATATGCAGAGATACTCCAGATTTTGCACTCTCCAGTTTTAGTAAATTTAGTATGTAACCTGAAATCCAGCTACTTGGTCTGTATTCACAGCTCGGCAATAAACCAGCAATTTAAAACCCATGAAGACTTTTCTGCCTATCACCTGCTGGGTTCAGACTGAAATATGTAAACTATTCATATACAATCTCAATATAGAGGTGCAGCGCTAAACACTAAATATACAGCGTAAATCTCGTCAATAGATTAAAAGAAAATGAGAAAATGCAGTCTCTTTAAAATAGTGCAACATGAGAAAGTTAATAACGTGCTCAGTACATAGGTATAGATTTCCAGCAATATTAGATCGTTCGAGGGAATAAACCAAGATAAAATGTACAAATAAATAAATAAAATTTGTGCATAAATGATGTCACCAATCGGTGAATAAAGTGCAAAAAAGTCCCAGATGTATTGCCCACGTGAGGATCCTGAATGATCCCGATAAGCGTGCGTGGAGGGTTACTTCCAGTGGCAGGTGTTCAATATGAATGAAATGCGCACTAGTGCGCATTTCATTCATATTGAACACCTGCCACTGGAAGTAACCGTCCACGCAGTGCGCATTTCATTCATATTGAACACCTGCCACTGGAAGTAACCGTCCACGCAGTGCGCATTTCATTCATATTGAACACCTGCCACTGGAAGTAACCGTCCACGCAGTGCGCATTTCATTCATATTGAACACCTGCCACTGGAAGTAACCCTCCACGCACGCTTATCGGGATCATTCAGGATCCTCACGTGGGCAGTACATCTGGGACTTTTTTGCACTTTATTCACCGATTGGTGACATCATTTATGCACAAATTTTATTTATTTGTACATTTTATATTGGTTTATTCCTGCGAACGATCTAATATTGCTGGAAATCTATACCTATGTACTGAGCACATGTTATTAACTTTCTCATGTTGCACTATTTTAAAGAGACTGCATTTTCTCATTTTCTTTTAATCTATTGATGAGATTTACGCTGTATATTTAGTGTTTAGCGCTGCACCTCTATATTGAGATTTACATTGGAAGGTTCTGTTTGGTTACCTTTTTTGGTGTTTCAGCGGCTATTTTTCTTTTGGATAGCGCTCGCATATTCACGCTTTATATTCATATACAGTATTTTATATTTACTTCTAATAAAAGAAATTTAAAAATATTTTTTTTTATTTTGTTTATTAACTGTATATATCAATAAAGAAAATATACTGAATCTTTCTTAAAGGATAAGTTCACCTTTTGGGCAAAAATAATAAATACACATATTTTTGCAGGTAAAAATGTGAATTTATTATATTTGTCAGCAGGAGCCTGGAAAGCATTGCACCAGCGATCAGTAGATCGCTGATGCCATGCAGGTCTCCTGCAGACCTGTCAGATTATCTGCTTGCTGTACGGGATGTGCTAGCAGGCAGATATTTTTGCTCCACACCATGGTAGTTAATTGAAAACTACAAGCCGATAGCCGCTAAGGCTGCTGGGACTTGTAGACACTCATTCACGGAACTCTGTGAAAGAGTGATTCGGCCGTGTGGGTGGAGCCCCGCGCGGCCACGCTGTTTTCAAATCTGACAGATAGTACGGGGAGAGGTTTCCTCATACTATCTGTCAGAGGGTGGGGGGAGCAGCGGGCGTGGCTGCAGCTATGGGGACATGTTACATGGTTGAACATGTAAAATGTTCCCAGAGGTGAACTTATCCTTTTATAGGATAAGTTCACCTTTTAATAAAAATAATAAATTGCACATATTTGTACCTGCAAAAAAAAATGTGATTTTATTATTTTTTGTTTCTGGAGCTTCTGAAGCATTGCGCCAGCGATCAGAAGATCGCTAGTACCATGCAGGTCTTCCTCTGACCTGTCACTGTATCTGCTTGCTCGTACAGCCTGTTCAGCAAGCAGATACTTACTGACAGGAAGGCTCAATGAACTTACCACCGCGCTGTGACGTGCCGTGGTAGTTCATTGAGAACTACAAGCCGACAGCTGCAAATACTGTGAATGAGTGACATGGCCAGGCCGATGGAGCTCCGCTCATCTGCTTTTTTTTTTAAATTAAGACTGCAGGGAGGAGTAGATCCCCCGCTATCTGTCACAACGAGGATCGAGAGGAGGATGCAGTGGCCCAGGGGTGGACTGACAACTCATGGGGCCCCCGGGCAATAGGGGATCATGAGGCCCCTGTGTCCTTGTCCAAACTCAAAAAAGCCTATGAAAAAGGTACCAGGGGCATCTCATGGGGCCCCCTACTGACCCTGGGCCCTCGGGCAGTGCCCGAGTTTCCAAATGGTCAGTCCGCCCCTGCAGGGGCCAATCTATTTGTAATATGTTGCATGTTACTGATCACCCATATTCAGGGTTTACCATGTATTGAAAGGTGAATTTATCCTTTAAATGCTATTGGTTCCTGTGCTGTGTTCTGTTAAAGCAAAGCAGTTCCCAGAGACAAAAGGTTAAACCTCCTTGTATTTATATTCAGTTTTCAATCTCTCTTTCCATCTTCCTCCATAGACCTCAGAAAGTTCCGTTCCTACAAAGGGAATTCTGTACGAGATCTGCTGAGAGCTATGAGAAATAAGGTAAGGTGTTACAGGAAGGGTTTAAGCTGTTTTCTGGGGGCACTATGTCTCCGGATACAGTGGAAAACAGGGATGAGTATCAGACAGAGGAGAAATTGAGATAAATCCCCCACCCCCCCCCCCCCCCCCCCCCCCCCCCCCCCCCTTCTTCAATTCTGTTTGACAGATGTCAAGAAGAACACTTCCCAACAGTGACACAGACACCAATAAAAAGATCATTTTTTAATAATGTGAGACAGTTTTAGACCAGACATGTCAATCTGGTGGTTTTTGTGCCACTTAAATAAAATAGGTTGAAATGTATGTAAAACTTTTTTGTTTTGTTTTAGATAGAAGAGGGAAGGGTTAAAAATACTGCAAGTTTATTTAATTACTGTGAGTCCTGTTGAGGATATTTCCCTTCACTTCCTGTTCTTGAGATGCAGCAGGAAGTGAGGAGGAAAACCCTCTCATAGATGATTTATGAGCACTTGGTAAAATATTTTTTTAGAGGAGTATTTCATGTGGAATTATTTTGATATTTATTTGGAGGAGATTGATTAGTTGAAATTATCTATTTAAATATTTTTTGGTATTTATACACTTTTATTAGTTATTTGTATCATAATTTGAATTAATTTAATGGTAATAATTTAATTATTATTTATTGAGAAGTATTTAGGAGCACAACATATATTTGTAGATATTTCCAACACAGTTGTAGTTATGTGTTTCATGTTTGAGATCCTCTAGTAATTATCACACCTGTGGCTCGCAAGTCACTCTGATTCATATAAATTGTGAGTGTTTTTGATGGGAAACTAAAAATGTGATACCTTTCATGTGGCTAACTGAATATTTTTTGAGGTGCATGCTTTCAAAAACATTGGGAATATTCATAAAACAGTGTTTGGTGAAAGTCAGATCCACTTTTTTTTATAAAAATGTCCCTTCGTTTCCTTCTTGAAGCATGTGTAGAGGGGAACTGATGAGGCACTTTCCACCATAGTTTGCCTTCTTTGGGTCTGTTAATTGATGATGTTGGGGGGTACTGCATCTTGGTGATCACTCAGGGCACTGCAGTGCTCTGTGCACTAGGCAAACCCTGCATAGGACTGGAATATCTTCTGCACTGAGCTCCTGACAGCCATCTTGGTGAACACTAGTGTGACTATGCTATATAAACCTGGTGATTGGAGGCTGTATCGATGGGGTCTAGGATTCCAAAAAACCCCATAAATAAGGCGTTTTATTCACCAATATCTGGTGAGTGCGGTGTGTGATCTGAGCACTAACGGGTGTGAGCACGGGTCAAGGGTCTTTTGGATAAGGACTTTTCAATTTTATTCTACTCACCATATTCATCTCAATAATCATTTTTGGAGTGGGACTATTGTATTTATTATATTTAATATAAGTTTTTTTGTATTATATTTTATTATTATTTTATTTTTTGTGAATATTTATTTGCACTGTTTGATGTTTTTTATGACTATGCTATGGGTCCAGAAAATTAATCTGCTAAAGCAGGTCTAGACTGGGTGCAGACAGTATGCACGTGGCTGTACTTCCCTTGGGAGCAAGAAAGTAAACCTCAGGCCTGGGGACAGAGAAGTGTTTTCTGGCAAGAATATGAGAGAGATGGAGCAAAAAGTCAAGTGCTTGATTTCCCCTGCGGGGGTAAGTGTGTAGGCTACAGGCGACAGAATAGAAAGGAGATGAAAGAGTCATGGAGCTTTCTTCTTAATGCATTACTGCGAGAACCACAGCACCCCTCAAAAATCACCTGATCCTGACAAAGTAACACATAAGATGTAAATGTTCATGATCAAGACTTAATACCAAGTTGTTGGAACTGTCATATGAAGCCAAACATCATTAACTCTGTAAAGCAATTAATTGTTCAGTAAAAAGCATAAACTACAGAAGGTCTCATTGATGTGTTCAGTGAGGACTATCTGCATCTAAAGAGGACTTATTTTTTATGTATGGCTGCAGGCAGTTGGAAGGAACGTTGTCTTTCAATATCCTGGGAGGAAAAGTATTTGGCGTGATGGGGGAAAAATTGGGGCTGATAGTCCACTAGATTGTAAGAGTCCTGGGAAGAATAATCATACTGTGTCCATATTGAGCACCCAGGTCAGTTCAATGAAAAAAGCTCACTCAATGGCAGCCTGTTCTTGAGAGCAAGAAGCGGCTCTACAAAGTAAGCAATGGAGAGAGAAGTACAAGCACCAGCTAAGTGTAGCGAATCGAGAAACTTTAAAGTGGTAGTGAACTCAATTTTTATTCTTTCACCTACAGGTAAGCTTATAATAAAGCCTACCTGGAGGTAAATGAATATCTCCTAAACGTGCACTGTCTAGGACAGGGGTGCTCAACTTGTGGCCCGCGAGCCACATGTAGCCCTCAGAGCCCTCTGATGTGCCCCAAGACCTCAAACCAGGGAAGTACATGCCTACGGTTGACAACCCTTTGATCATGATCTGGGCTCGCTGACCCTCCATCTCAGAGCATCAGAGTGCGTCGAGCCAGTGTCGGAAGCAGGCGGCCTTGGAGGGAGTAGGAGCCACATTGGTGGATGCTTCCTCTGTAGTGCCAACTCCTGTCCCAGGCATAGTGATACCAAGTGCACTTTTCCTGGGACCTTTCTAGCAACCTGGAGAGCGATGCCAGCCGAAGCTGGAGGGGGGAAAGAAGGTCAGTGTATTAAACATCACATACACTGAGCATAACAGCTTTTGTAATGGGCAAACAGGAAAATGTTCATTGTGCTATTCAAAATAAATAATCTGGGGGGGAGGGGGAGGTTGGGATGGGAAATTTAGGCAAAATGTTTGTATTTTGGATGAAATCGGTATATTGATGTGTTTTTGTAATGGAAAACGGAATAAAAGTTATAATTAAAAAAAAAAGAAAAGAAATAATCAGAAAATCTGAACCGTTTAATTTAATTGCGGCCCACGACCAGTTACCATATCACTTAAATGGCCTTCGCTCTTCAAAAGGTGAAGAACCCCTTGTGACAGGCGCGGCGTCAGACCCCAGACCTTCTCACCAAACTCGTGACCAAAGGACTAGCAAATCTAATACTGCGACGTCACGTGCGTAACAATGCCACGCCCAGCTGCACCCTGCAGAAAGATTTTCCAGCTAATTGGACCACAATCGATGTACTGGCAGCCTGAGCGATTGTTACTGGGTCAGTTTAATTACGCAATTAACCCTTCACACTGCCACCACCTCCTTTTTGTACAGAGAAAGAGGAAACTCGGCAATATCAGTTATAACACTATAATGGTTGAGGTAATCGTCTGTATAACACGGTTATACAGAGGGTTAAACAAACACAATAGCGTTCTCTTTAGAGGCAGGAATTCGTAAATTGCAATACAGTTCAACACTTTCAGAAGGAAAGATTTATTACTAAAAGGTCAAATGGGTGCAATAAAAATATTTACAGAAAAAGATGTAACTAAGATATATATATATATATACATATATAAATATACAGAGCATAACAGCACAGAAAACAGATAACAGGAGTTTAAAGGGTTAAAGTACTTGCCGGTCAGCCTTGGTTTTAAGCAGCTTCAAGTCTCATGACCAAAAGGATGCTTTGATCTCCCACCGTTAGTTTCAATATTAAGGCAGGGAGTTCTTCTTTTCTCTTTCTCTGCAAGATGTTGCACGCAGAAAGTCCTCACTTCTCGGACTACACCCAAAACATAACAGCTTCTTTTTCTACACAACATCAACTGGCATCTTCCTACCACGGACAAGCCAATATCTTATTTGGCAAGAGGATTGTTTAAAGGCAGGGACTAGCAAGGTACGCTGAACACATTCCTGAGGGAGGGGGGAAATCGGAGGAGGGAGACTGATTTGGGAGATTAAGAGAAATACCAAAATGTAGTTGTTTGGAGCAGAATGGATGACCGTGTCCATCTCTGTGTGCATGATTGTGACACCCCTGGTTTAGGAGATATTCTAGTGAGCAGCAGCCGGTGATATCACTGGCGCATGCGCTCTGAAGAAACAGCATACCCGTGTCTTTCCTTCAGAGCTGTGTGCCACGGCTGTAGCTCCCGCGTGCATGTGTGGGAGTATAGTCATCGTGGCTTCGGCCATTCAAGTGGCCGCAGCCCGGAAAGCTGGAAGGAAAACCTGGGTGAAGATGGAAACCTCTGTGGTGGCAGTGTGCCGCTAGATGGCTTCATTCTCAGGTAAGTCTTTCATAATGTGCTGTATGTGATCACATTATGACATTACCTTGCTAGGGAAAATCTTTTTTTTTAGGTTTACTATCACTTTAATACTTGTAAAATCAATGCACTGACAGAAAGAGGTTTGAAACAGGCATATGCGTGTGTCCTCGCCAACACTAGTCCCAGTCCCGGTCCGCCAGGGGGATGGAGGCTTCCAACGCTACCGATCAGCTGGACCAGTCTCCATCCACTTGACGGACCAGGACTTGTGTTGGCGAGGACACACACACAACGCTGTAGGCCCGTTTCAGAGCTCTTTCTATGAGTATATTGGTTTTACAGGTATTAAAGTTTCTCGATTTGCTACACTTAGATGGTGCTTGTCCTTCTCCCTCCTTTTCAATATCCTGGACTGATCATGTAGTCTTTATGATACAAGAGGGGCACAGCCAATAGAGTGTACTCTAACAGCTGGTTCGGGTGGGGGTGTGTGTGGTGGTTTAATGACGGTAGGTCAGCCAGTAGCGGTGACTGGTAAAGTTCTTCCAGTGCACTGCCTGTGTGAATGTAAAGCATAGGTCCCAGATGTGTGACATGACCATCCTAGGGACTGAACCTGGAAATATTGTACGTTAAGTAGAGGCTTCTCAAGCAAAGTGTGACCGCTGCCCAGGCCTAGGGTCGTAGAACTGGAACCCGTGAATATGCGTGCGTTGAACTGGTGGAGCATAGTTGGAGCTTCAACTAGATGCCAGGGTGCACCACACATGGTTTCACCATGAAAACCACATCTGCAAAAGCTTGCACCTAAAAATATACTTAGTTGACCACATGAACGGTATGGCCTATATTTTTAGTTTCCAACTACTACCCGTGTCTATCAGGAGACAACACTCCACAGCTAATGTCTTTTATGTGTTTACAGAAACATCATTATCATGAGCTGCCCTCAGAGGTCCAGGAGTCGCTGGGCACCATTCCTGACGATTTTGTATATTATTTTACCTCTCGGTTTCCACTTCTACTCCTTCACACACACCAGGCGTTGGAACTGTGCGCAGGAGAGAGACCTTTCCAGAACTATTACCACTGCGAAGCGCGGCGCTGAGACTGCCGCAGGAGGTCATGTGACAAGCCTCAGGCTGCCTTGTGTCGGTCAGCTGGACTCCTGTTTTTATACAGTGAATTGCACTGCCTCATAGTATTTGCACAGTAGTTTTTATTTTTTCACTGTAATTGCTTTTATTTCAGCACCCTCCAGACACATTTCTCATTTTTTAAAATCATTTTACATTTGTTCATCTATCTTCTAGTCTGTTGAATGGAGGCGATTACTGGAAGCCGGACTTTGCATTAAAGCCTCCAGTCTGCACGGTAATACCATTATCTTGATAGCCTATCCTCTGGTAGCCATTCCAAAAAGGTGAAGTTTTTCCATCATGCGCTATTCTGAAGTAAACTCTTGGATCTGCCCTGTGGACTCTATGAAGATATTTTTTAGTTTGTTTTAAATGATTATGGGCTCATTCACATGGGTGGGTGAATCCATACACCCATGCAGAGGGCAGATTTTATCAACCCGGGTCCATGCAGCCAGCCTGGTGAAATCAATGACAAGGTGATGAGAAAGTCCTAAAATGTAAAAAACATTTCTCCACCTTGTCACCAGCAGTCAGCAATCATCTTAAAACCTAATGTACTCACCAGAATACAAAGGCATGGATTATAGCCAAGGCTGTATATCCCAGGTACTCTCCTCAGCATTCAAGCCCCTGGACGCCTGTATATCCCAGGTACTCTCCTCAGCATTCAAGCCCCTGGACGCCTGTATATCCCAGGTACTCTCATCAGCATTCAAGCCCCTGGACGCCTGTATATCCCAGGTACTCTCCTCAGCATTCAAGCCCATGGACGCCTGTATATCCCAGGTACACTCCTCAGTATTCAAGCCCCTGGCCGCCTGTATATCTCAGGTACTCTCTTCAGCATTCAAGCCCCTGGACACCAATCAGGTTTCCTGGATGGAAAAGAGCTCACACCCCGGAGCCCAGACAAGGTATATGGTGTAGTATTTTATTATAAAATAGCTAGTACACAGAAATTAAAACAACCACGTGTCGATATCACACAAACAATCAGTCCGGATATACTAAAGTGGCCACCAATCCGTGTTACAGAAATGGTGGCGTGACTTCCACTCCTTCCCGCACCTAGCAGGTTAGGTAACGATGGTTGATACAGACATCAGCGGTAGGCGTATCCCTTGAAGACGAAACACGTTGGGAGGGGCCTTACATGCTGACATCCAGGAGACCTGCTTGGCATCTTGGGACTTGAGTGCTGAGCAGAGTACCTGGGATATACAGGTGGCCAGGAGCTTGAATGCTGAGGAGAGTACCTGGGATATACAACAATGGCTGTAATACACACCTTTATATTTTAGCTGTCTGGTGAGTGCGTAGAGGTGGAGAATTGCACACTGCTGGTGACAAGGTGGAATAGTTTTTTTTTTTTTTTTTTTTTTTTGCACATTGGGACTTTCTCATCTGGATATACACTATATTGATTGGACACATGTATATTGTAGCACTATTGATTGATTTTGTTTTTATAGTCATTGTAATAATTTATGATATACTGATCTATGTGGAACTTGTGACACCAATTACATTTGAGGTGCCCCTTCTCTTTTTTACTTTTTGCACTAGTACAATGGTTGGGTTTTTATTTACAGGTAAAATTTATGTTTATGTCACAGGGATATTTATTTTAAGCGCTGCACTATTCTTTTTCCAGTGTTGTTTTGTGAGGTTGGTGTGTCACCTTTTTTGGTGCTAGCAGCTACTTCCACAGAGCACTCACTTATATTGCTTTCCTATTAATGACAGGCGGATGGCTGCCTAGATCTTCATACATATTCCTGAGTGTACATCTGTGTGGGATCTGAACAAAGAGAGACCTCGTTCAGAACCGTGCTGCATCAATCCTGCAAAGATGTACATTCAAGGATGTGCAAGAAGATCTGGGCAGTCGTCAGCCTGTCCATGAAGATCTGGGCAGTCGTCAGCCTGTCATTGATTTTAACAGGCTGGATGCATGGACTAGCTGTGCCTCCCAGGCAGATAAACATGGTATCCACATGGGTGTACAGATCTATGCATCCATGTTTATGAGCCTTAAATATCTTGTTTATTTTTTTTTGTTATTTTTAAAGAGATATTTATTTTGTATCAGATTAGGGGAAATTTTGCTGTACAGTTATTCTTTTTAAAGATGGGAAAAGTATTAAATATGTCATTGTAATAAGGAAATTTGGTGTGTCTGTCATACATTCATGAGGAACGTCCCCGTGTTTGAAATTTCCCTCCAGTTGCTCTTCCCCTGCACTATCATCTTGAAACGTCTCGTTATTTGGCAGATGTGCCATAGATATCTGCCAGGTATGTGAGACCCGGAAGAGACCTATGGCATATCTGCATGCATGGGGGATTCATAGGCATGCACAGGAGCTGCTGGTTTTCGGTATCTGGGACCTTGTAAAGACCTAAATATTTTTTGCACATGTGCAGGAACCCACCGTCTGTGTGCAAACATGGTGCAAATATTTGTCAGTTCTCGAAACACCTGGCAGAGACCAGTAACATGTCTGGGCATGTGACCCTTAGTAAAACACTGGCTTCTGGGAAGTGTGGTGTGGTTTACTTGACTGCTGAACAGTAGAAGGTACAAAATGTTTCTATCTGCAACTGCGTAAGAGGGAAGGGGGAGGAAACAGGTAAAAAAAAAAGGTCTTATAATGGGTGAAGGTCTGCCTTAGGCCCCATGTATAAGGGACGTTTCTGAACGATGGAAACTGGCTGCTGGAAAACGTAGGTTAAAAGACGTCTGTTTATGCGTGTTTGCATTTAGAAGCATTTTTTTAAAGATAAGCACAGGAGAACCTCCCAAATGCCCAGAATGCACTGAAAAGTGGTAAATTATTAACTATTTCAGACTGTTTCAGGGAAATACAGAGAGTAGAAGCAGAGACAGCAGTATGTGTTGGGATGAGCTTAGGCGTGAGTTGTTCATTAACATTTCTTTTGTTTCCAAGGGTGGGAAAGATGTCTGGTGGAGGGAGTCATTAAGGCCACCTGGCAGGGGGTCTTCATGAGGAATTTGAGGTGTGATTGGTCATTACCATATCTTTTTTTTTCAAGGGTGGGAGAGGTCTGAGGTGTGAATTGGTCATTACAATGTGTGACAAGCTTGGTAGGAATATCCTGTGTTCAGTGTTTTGTCCATCTGAGTACCTTGAAAACGCTTTGCATGCATTTTTCATAATGAATAAAGGCTCTGGACAGCATCAGGAACTGGAAGAGTTAAAAAAAAAAATTGCAAACGCTTATAAACATTTGCCGCGTTTACAAGCGTTTTCCGTTGAAACGCTAAAATCGAATGCTGAACACAAGTTTTCTGCGTTCAAAAAAATGACTGTAAACTAAAATGCCTGTAAATGAAGATGTGTACATAGACACATAGAAAAACATTAGGGAGAGTTCAGGGGCTGCTGAAAAAACCGCTGAACAGTTCCTAAACGTGAGTTTATCAGCTGCAGTGTACATGGAGCCTAAAAGGTACAACATGTTTCCATCTGCAACTGTGTAAGAGGGAAGGGGGAGGAAACTGGTAAAAAAAAGGTTCTTATAATGGGTGAAGGTCTGCCTTAAAGTAGAGTTGTGAGCATGCTATAGACACTCAAATATTTCCATATTCTTAAAGCCCAATGGTACCTCAAAACAAGAAGTGTGAAAAGTCTTTTCAGTTTTTCTTTTTTTAAAAAAAACAGCTATTGTCTAAGTAGAAAAGCCTGTTCCCTGCCAGAATGCTACAGAGATGGACCTTTGTGGTCTGTGTGTGGAAGTAGTGGGCTCACTGCAGAGGTCTGTCATTTCCCTTGAGTCAGAGCTCTCCAATCAAAGGTGGATTTTTATGATTGCATAGATACAGACCAGTAATACAGTGGAGTGCACGCATTAAATTCGTAAACCGAGGTACGCCTGTGTGTGTGTGTGTGTATATATATATACAGTCATGGCCGAAATTGTTGGCACCCTTGATATTTTTCCTGAAAATCAAGTATTTCACACAAAAAAGGTATTGCATTAACACATGTTTTGCTATACACATGTTTATTCCCTTTGTATGTATTGGAACAAATATAAAACAGAGGCAGAAAAGCAAATATGACATAATGTCACACAAAACCCCAAAAATGGGCTGGACAAAAGTATTGGCACCCTTAACTTAATATTTGGTTGCACACCCTTTGGAAAACATAACTGAAATCAGTCGCTTCCTATAACCATCAATAAGCTTCTGACACCTCTCACCCGGAATTTTGGACCACTCTTCCTTTGCAAACAGCTCCAGGTCTCTCTTATTGGAAGGACACCTTTTCCCAACAGCAATTTTAAGATCTCTCCACAGGTGTTCAATGGGATTTAGATCTGGGCTCATTGCTGGCCACTTCAGAACTCTCCAGCGCTTCTTTGCCATCCATTTCTGAGTGCTTTTTGACGTATGTTTGGGGTCATTGTCCTGCTGGAAGACCCAGGATCTTGGACGCAAACCCAGCTTTCTGACACTGGGCCCTACAGTGCGACCCAAAATCCTTTGGTAATCCTCAGATTTCATGATGCCTTGCACACAGTCAAGGCACCCAGTGCCAGAGGCAGCAAAACAACCCCAAAACATCATTGAACCTCCACCATATTTTACCGTAGGTACTGTGTTTTGTTCTTTGTAGGCCTCATTCCGTTTTCGGTAAACAGTAGAATGATGTGCTTTACCGAAAAGCTCTATCTTGGTCTCATCTGTCCACAAGACGTTTTCCCAGAAGGCTTTTGGCTTACTCAAGTACATTTTGGCAAACTGTAGTCTTGCTTTTTTATGTCTCTGTGTCAGCAGTGGGGTCCTCCTGGGTCTCCTGCCATAGCGTTTCATTTCATTTAAATGTCGACGGATAGTTCGCGCTGACACTGATGCTCCCTGAGCCTGCAGGACAGCTTGAATGTCTTTGGAACATGTTTGGGGCTGCTTATCCACCATCCGGACTATTCTGCGTTG